AGTGAGCTCCTGCGGGTTGCCGACTGGGGTGACCAGTGAGTGCCCAGCTGTTGGCTGGCCTACCCTTGTGACCGGCGCCGATCACCGCTCGATGGCTGGGTGATGTGCTCAGAGATCGGGCCGACACTGTCCGCTCACAGAGTCGCCGGTTTCGCCCCCAGAATCGTTCTACGGAGAGCTCACCAACTCGGACCTGTTCAAGTGGCTGCAGCAGACCATCGATGAGCTGTACAGAGACGGAACCGAACAAGACTGCCGTCACCAATTTGTTCAAATACTCCAAGATGCTTCTTCACTGGTTATACGAAAAGTTTGGCCTAGGTAGGCCGCAATTGCGTTTTTTAATATCCCTTTGGCTCAATGAATACATGGTGTTTGCTTATTGAAAAGATGCGATCTGCAGCAACGTATCTGTTGTCGACGCGCGGAAGCAGCGTGCTACCTTCCTCCGGTTATCGTAAATTTCCTGTAGTTACCAGCTTTTGATAATCTGGCTTCGCTCCTCCACAACTTTGAAATTGCAGCTACATTCCGTCATGCAGTTTTTTCAGTTCGTCTGTGATGTGATGTCAGATTCGGTAGCTTCACAACCTCACTCATAGCAGAACGATGTAGAATTGAAACCTCTGTTAAGGCCTGTTCATACCTTGCGGACTGGTTGCAGCATAGCTGCAGATGCTGCAGTCGTCAGCTGCTGCGCGGTTACAGGTGCATTTTTACACCCGCAGGCCCTCACAGGGCGGGTAAAAGCAGGAATGCAGGAGTTTGTTCGGTGCTGGGGAGGGGCCCAGCAGCACTCAGAGCCGTTTTCTTCCACGCACCGCCGTGAGCCTGGTGCTAGGTGTTTCCAAATGTTAAGGGTCTGGAGCTCTCCCCCCCCCCCCCCCCCCCCGTCCAAGCCGTCATGACGGGACAGTTCCCGCGCCCATGACAGGTTAAAAGAGACAGCATCCACGGCAGACTCTACGGCCGTCAGGTGCCGCCAACTAGAGTGGTGCCCCTTTTGAGCCACTTTGTCTGCGTTTCGCGTGCCTGCGGGCTTAGAACTGGCACCTGTAGTCGGCAAGAGCTGACAACCACAGAATCTGCGCAGATTCTGTAACTAGTCCGCGAGTTCTGAACGGGTCTTTAGCTGTTGTGGATGAATGCAGGGCCTGCAAGTTTACAAGCTGGAGCTCACAGCTCTGTTATCGTAAAAAGTTCTAACTGTGTGCATATTATATTGGGACGTACCGATTTGTGCTTACGAGCTTAGCGGCTCAAAACATGAAAGGGAAGTGGGTCAAGTCTCCCCGAGTGGTGTGCTGGATTTCTAAATAGTGCTTTGGAACTTGGATCGCGTGTCCACATGTTATCATGCACCACGGTGGAATTGTGCGAAGACGTGCTGAAAGCGATCGTCGGGCGGCATTTATAATTCTGCGTTTTTCAGTCGACGTTTTCGGTGAACCGGGACGTTGGCTGAAGGACTTCTGGGACAATCCCCCCGCTTCCTTAGCCAAGGCCAAGGACACAATAACATTAGTTTACCACCAGGTCAGTGCACCGACCACAACCACCAAGTCCATGACCTTTTTGCGTGAAAACAATGCTTTTCGATCACACGCCTTTGTTCATGCGCCGGAGCCGGAATCATAAGTCCCGATGTTCACTTTATTTCGAAGTTTGTTCAAGCCTCAAACAAAGCCTGCACGAGCTTGGACGCAGCCGGCTGTAGTGCAAACACTCATTCCAGCACAACAACGGCTGATCGATGCTGCTGTTTCTCTTGCCAATTATTGAAGACTGATCTGGTTTAGCCGCCAGCCGTGCATTGACGGCCCACATGATCTTGACGTGACCGTTGTTCCGACTGCCTGCGGCCACGCAGCTGGCCTGGACGGTCGACCATCTCGGCGTAGCAGACTTCTTCCAGCGGACAATGGCCAAGATATACCGAGAGGGTGACCAGTTCTGGACACAGACGGCCATCGAAGGAGCTCAGAGGTAAGACTGGGATGGCAGTCCGCAGTGGCTAGGTGAATGCCATGAGCTAAACACTAACTCAGATCTGGTCGCAACGTTCTTGAGTGAAGGCTAACTGGAAAAGCGGTCTGTCTGTGGCCGGGACGGTGAGCCGTAGCTCCGCACTGCGCGGGTGGACGGCGAACGGCAGGTTCATTGTCAGCTTAGGTTAGGTTAGGTAGGTTAGGTTAGGTTAGGTTAGGTTAGGTTAGGTTAGGTCAGGTTAGCAGCGAAAAACAGCTCTCCCGAGTGGGTTGCTGCACATGTAACATGCCACCTACACAGATTTGGGAGACTGTAATGAAATGTTCGCGATCTTCTGCGGTCCCATTTTCAGGTATTTTGAGGGTAAATCGATGATGGTGATGCGACCAGAGCGTGGCTACATCTCCTTCGTACAAATACTGCCGATGCCCTGGTACGGATTTTATCAAAGCCCAGTCTGGGAGGTAAGAGTTTTGACTGAATTGTTTGATATCGTGTTGATCTGCGTCCATACCGACTACATGCTTTCCTCGAAATCTCTGAGCATTGAGAGTACAGTATGATATATGAGTATGCCATATCTCTGCTGTCTGCTGTCTGCTGTCTGCTGTCTGCTGCTGTTGATAAACCATGCATTCGTCAATCTGCCCTGCATCATTTTCTCTACTGTGCTTATGATCTGTTGACAAATCAAAGCGGCCGTTAACATGCTAGAGGCAATGCATTGTTTTCACTTGAAACAGATGACAGATGATAGTCGTTCCTAGATCGTTTCTTAATCATAAAGAATGCGCGTTCCTCGTTATATTGACAACCGGCATTCATCAGCGAAGAGTCAGCTTGCCGTCCGTCAGATTATATGCTAGGCGTGATGCACCAGTCGCGAATCTTTCTCCTATCCTTCTTCCTATAATAGCATTGCACTCCTCTGGAGCCCTGAGTTCACCGCAGCCCTACATCAAAAGCTGCTGCACCGTGGTGGTGGTCGAGCATGCGACGACCCATTCCCGTATTAGTAAGGTTGTCTTTCGAATTGTCTTCATAATCAATTTTGATTATGAATTGTCAAATCATAAGATGGGCTGGATTGCTTTCACTCCCACGGCGCTCTTCGCAGGAGCTACCGGAGCTGCAGAAGATCAGGCGTATTCGGTCTCTGACCAAGAGTTCGGACTGGACTTTGTACGACATCGCGATCGCTTACTGGCCGGGCAGCAATCCAATGGAATGGGTGCCACCTTTCAAAGGTACTGGTCTGCACCCGGACATGTATTGGATGTCTTCGCCACTGACCGGGCTGGTGTGCCTCTGTAGCGATGCTGAGGCGCCATCTGTCTGACGGGGTGCAGCAGACGCGTCGTGCGCTTAGCTTTGTGGCGAAGTGATCCTGCGTGTGCTTTCACTGGTGAGATGGGTCCACAGCTAGGTGGCATTAAAAGCTGTCCACTGACCTCTAATGCTAGTGTGTTCAAGCAGATACGATGCGCTTGCATTTGCGCGTCACCAGAACCTGGTCCAGAATGTCACCGTGTCACACGGGGACGATCTAGTACAATTGGTAATACTTTCGCCCACGGCCGCGGCCTGGGAGGCCTCAGTGCGAGGCTGTCTGCCGGCACATGGCTGGAATGGCCTCACTACAATCGGCATGCGAGAACGCGACAGTACATTACCAGAGGCGTGGGCATGTTGCTACCCCACTCTTCCCACGCAACGTGCTGTAAGCGGCTCCATAGTCAAGGCGGTAATATCGTTTGTGCGTGGGCTTACCCTGACGCCCAGACTGTGCACCGCAGCCAGCCTTATAAACGCATGCAGTCATCGACCGAGCTGGCTCCCGTTACCAACCAGGGATTGCGTCCTCAGAACTAGTCTTAACGGACCAGCAAGATCAACGAAAGACAAAGTCAAATGTAACCTATAGCTGAGCCATGGACGGTCAAGCATGACCGCACATTCTAAATTATACGGCGAAACAGTCTGTGGGTCTCACTAAATGACAAACATCCAAAGTGCATGTGATGTGAATGCGTGTGAATGCAAAGGATAGGATTGCACCAAGCTTTAGCTGTTACCAGCCTATTCAAGTGTCATCTGCTGTACGACCATTACTTTGAGTCAATGCCTCGTGAAAGCTTAGTTTGCCTCTGAGCAAAGCAGAAGACGTCATGGGAGTTTTGAAGTGCTAGAGGAAGGCCTAAATCACAGACATGACGTTTAAAAAAAATTGACCAGATTTTTTTTTAGAAATCTGATTCGAACCCTTTGAATGGATGTATTTCTGGGATCAGTACTCACGCTAAGCAGTGCTTGTTGTGTGAGCCCTGACCCCTACCATCCGATCGCGAAATTCCAGGCAACGGCAGAATTTAGTGGCGAAAGCTTAACGTGCCGCAATGCTCGGCGCGGTCCGTCCTGCCCTCTGACGTCAACTGACCTTTAGCGCGACCGCTGCCACCGGTAGCAGGCCATACCTGTCAAGGACAAATAGCGAGCGCCTAAAGCGACTCGAATCCATCCCGCCACGGGTGGGTGAATTGGGAGGCAGGCGCTCTAACCAACTGAGCCACCGGGACGGACAGATAATCCCTTTCATTCAAAAGAACATAATATTATGGTTCAGCCAACAAATGGCAAAGAGAGGAGGCGGTGAGGCCGACACTCCATGGCTGTGACGCTTTTCCTCGGGTCCAACGGCCTGTGGAGGCAGCTCGCTGCACAATGAAAGAGAACAAGCACCATTTGGCTCGACAGCGGGGTCCAGGTCGGTCAAGGGCGCTGGAGTCACGCCCTTGACATTTGGCAGGCACGTGGGATTCTCTCCGCCAGAGAGACACACGCGTCGTTTGACTCTACGCCAGAAAGGTAGTGTCGTAAATAATGGTACATATTTGGCACTGTGGTCAAAGCCTCCGCTGCAAGCTTTGCGCAGAATGTGGGATGACGTTAACCCAGCCTGCTCCTGCCAGAACATGGCTTCCGTTCGGACACGGACACCGCAAACCAAAAATATACCAAGGACCTGTAGCATCCCCAAACTAAACTGCGAGAATTAAAAGCTGTAAAACACAACTTTGGTGGCCTTCATTTACATGCGAGCACAGACACGTGCGGTCACGAAATGGACGAGCGGGTTATTCTACATGGTAAGTAGGCTGGATTCGCACGGACGCGGTAGTCTTAAAATCACTTAACAGCTTGGCGTGGTGCTGATGAAGCTTTCACTATCCACATTTCATCTATGTCCTCCTTTTTTTTCTCCTCCCGCAGGAGAGCGTTCCAGGCTGCTTAAAATACGTGTGGTTGAGACTTTTCGCCACACGCCTTTTATGGCTAGGTGCGGAGACGCCATCCGCCCCGCGAGTATCAGATCCTGAATCCCGATACAGTATCCTGTATCAGACGAGTATCCCGCGAGTATCAGATCCTGTATCCCGATACGGTATCCTGTATCAGACCCGCTGCGGAAACCGCCGGAGATGTGGCTCCGCGAAGGGTCACCTCCGGCCTGAGGGGCTATAGCGTTTTGGGGGAAAGCCTTTCAACCTATGTATTTGTGGTTTCAAAATTCCCTGAGAAATGGTCTCAAAGCACTGTGCTTATTGCACATCGCTAGTTCAGGCAGAGGCAGAGCAAAGTTGGCACGTGTCCCCCTCAGGCTCCGAGAGGGCCAGATTTGAGGGCCTGAAGGGCCCGAAAGGCAGGCCGGAGCTCGTGTTCAGGGGCCCGGCCCGCAAGCCCGGGCACTCCAATCCCAGCCAAAGTGCCCTGCGCGCTGATCAGGGGCCCCCTGAGTCAAGAAGGGTCTAAATAGCGGTCAGACACGACCAGCAACGCACAGTCGGCTCCGTGGCGGCATGGGCCTTGGGGCCTATTTCCCAAGCAGGGACAAAGCCGAAGCCAGCGATTTGCATTGGTCGGGGCTCGGCATCGGTCCCAAAGCGCCTTGCCCTGTGTTGGCAAGGAGCCCTGAGTCGACTGGAGGCAGTGTTCGGGAAAACCCGGAGAGCCTGGAAAGTCCACCAGGTCTGACCATCAGGGGTCCGATTTGGGGGCTAAGGATACAAAAGATTGGTCGGAGTGTTATTCAGGGACGCCAGCCTGAGGGGACCGGCCCTCAAATGACAGGCAGACGGCTTTTTGCGCCGATAGAGGACATCCTGAGTTAATATTTTTAAAGGTTTGATTCGAACCCTTTGAATGGAAGGATTTATGGGATCAGAACTCACGCCAGGCAGTACTTGTTGCGTGAGCCCTGACCCTCACCATCCGATCGCGCAATTCCAAGCAACGGCAGAATTTAATGGCGAAAGTTTAACGTGCTGCAATGTTCGGCACGGTCCGTCCTGCCCTCTGACGTCAACTGACCTTTAGCACGAGTGCTGCCACCGGCCGCAGGGCATAGCTGTCGAGGGCAAATAGCGAGCGCCAAAAGCGACTCGAACCCAACTCGCCACGGGTGGGTGGACCCGAAGACAGGCATTCTAACCGACTGAGTGGCGGGACGGGCGGATGTGGGCGTTTCTGTCGGTCAGGCACCACCAGAACTGCGCAGTCGGCTCCGTGTCGGTAAAGGCCTAAGTGGGCCCACCTCCCAATCAGCTACAAATCTGAGGCCAGTGATTTACATTGGCCGGGGCCCCTGTATCTGCCAGGGCACACGTCTAACAGAGGATATCTGTGCCCACAATGGACCCCGAGCCGGCCGTGGGCAGTGTTTGATGAGGCCCGAGGACGGGCTCAACAGAAGGACGACCCAACAGAACCAGACCCGCGGGGCGTAAGACCTGAAATTCCAGTCCGAGCTCCTCCTGCACGGTTTGAGGACCCCTGAGACAACGTGGATATCTGAGTCGGCCAGAGACCACGAACACAAAACAGTTGGCTCCCTGGCAGTCTGAACCCTGGGGGCCTATTTCCCAAGCAGGAACAAGGCCGGATGCCGCGATTTCTACTGGTCTGGATCCCTGAAATGGTGGTTGAGGCCCCTGTGTCGGTTTTGGGCCCACAGTGCAAGGCATGGGTTATGTGTCAGCTAGTGGTCCTCAGTCCGGTCACTGGGTTTGCTTGAGGAGGTCCATAGAGAGGTCGGAGGGTCCCTCAGGGTCAAAAATCAAAGCTCAGATTGAAATCTGTCCCGGCCCCCATCCCGTAGTGCCGTGACCTGAAATGTCCTTCAGCGTGCTGCTATTATGGCCATCTTATTAGGATTATCTATCCCATTATATAAGACCTCGACACGGAACCAAACAGTCGGCTCCATGTTCGTCTGAGCTCTTGAGACACATTTCCCGAGCAGGAATGAGACCGGGGCCCGCGATTCGCAATGTTCGGGGTCTCCACAATGAGAGGCTTCCGTTTTGGTCGGGGATCACAGTGCTTACCAGGGGTTCTGTAGCGGCAAGAACCCGAGTCGGCCAGGAGCAATGTTCTGAGGGGGCGCGAGGGGTCTCTTGAGGCCAAAGAAGAAGCACCGACTGGAAGGCTGAAGAGCCAAAAAGGGCTGGCTGTAGGTCACACTTGAGATCACGGCCCGTAGGGCCGGGGTCTCAGTGTGACCTACAGTCAGTCAGTTAGAGGGCTTCTTGCACCGGTTTGGGAAAGCGTTCCTCTGTTTCAGCCAGAGATCGCCAATTCCGAACAGTCGGCTCTGTATCGGTCTGAGCTCTGGGGGCCCACTTCCCAGCAGGAACATGGTAGGGCCTGCGGCTTACATTGGCCAGGGCCTCTGCAATAAAGCGGGGCTCCTGTATCGTTCAGGGGCCACAGAACCTACGAGGGTATCTTGTGTCAACAAGGGGTGTAGAGTCTGTGAGGGAATTTGGTCAACAGGGACGGGGACGGCACCTCGAATAAAAGAGGACTCTCTTGCGTTGGTCAGAGCCCTCTGACAATGAAAACGAATATGAGACTCATGATGGTTGTTCACAGTGAGAAAATGAAAGACCAATGGCGATTACCGTGGTGTGCCAGTGTGCCAGTCAGGGCTTTCAGCACCGAACGGTGAGCCCTGCAACCAAATTTCAGCATGGGCCCCTTAAGCCGAACTGGAATCTATGTTAGTTCTCATGGAATCCAACATAGATTCCATGGAGTCTGTGGAAGTTAAATTGGAATCTATGTTAAACCGAATCAGACCACCTGCGGCGATCAGGGATGTTGTTGCGTCAATGAGAGTTAGCGCATCGATCCGAAGTCAGCCACGTGGGTCAGAAGGTCTATAACGTCAGGGAGGGGACCAATGTGATACAGTGTATCCCTCCAAGGGCCTCCGGATGGGTCAGGGGATCCGCCCCATGTCGCCAGAATCGCAGCCGGAAGGCACGCCATGGTGGGACGGAATACCCCTCAGCCTTGACCGGGAACAGTCATGTGCTCCCTAGTGTTCTACTCAAGGGAAACAAATATGGGATCTCATTAGTGTAGAAAACAGTGGGTCGAACTTAGTTTCCAAATGAACAACGCCATCCCATGTTTGTCCGAGAACATTTATTCTCTCGTAGAATCGACCGATGAAATAAATTACATCAAACAAGGTTTGAACATGCCCGCCGGCAATTTCGGGAGCAAGGACAGCGATGGCCCGGATGGCGGCTTTCGTAAAACCGAACAGCGTTAGCGACCGCAAGTAACGCCAGCTGGCGGGCGCCGTGCACGCGAGAACCACGGTTGTAAAATAAGGGCTCCGAGTGTCGGTCAAAATTTATTCATAACCCTCAAAGATGAGACTCGGCGCATTTTTAACAGCTTTTAGGTTGCCTTTTGGATAGGTAGATAGTTATAGCAATACAAAAAATAGAAATGCTACCTTTACTCTTCCGGTTTCACCACCAGATTCCAGCACTCTTCGCCGTGCTGTAAAGGCCAATCCGTTCATATCATCAATCTAAAAATCGTGCAGATGAAGTATACGTCCAGACGACCTTCGAACTCTATAATTTAACATTCTATAGCGTTCAAAGGTCCCGATTTACAACGTTTAATAATTTTCGTCCGCCTATTGGCCACGGCTTAGAGTTAACCGCAGGCCAACGCTGCGCGGCCTATGGAGATTGCAACTCCAGGCGTCGAGATTTTTGCCTAAGATTTGTGAGCGCGCATGCTCCACACAAACTTTGTTTGGTCATTCTAATGCAAATTGTTGCCCCATTTCGACTGTACATTCGCGGGGATACCTAATATTTCTGTACAGCCGATATAAAAAAATCTGACAAAGCTTCCGAGTTTATCGGTTCAGAAAGAGTCCACTGGATCGTTGCAAAATAACATCAATGGCTTATTTCATGTATTTGTTCAAAACATGATTTCTTGGGTTCATTTACTTTGCAATTCAGGCAAAATTGATCTCATGGTAGCTCCTGGTCACGCGATTATTTTGTTTGGGGGGGGACCATTCACAATCAGTGGGCCAAATTGTCAACCCATACCTCCCCTCCCCCGCTTGCCAGGGCTCTGGCTGCGCACCTGTTACACATCCAGGAGGACGAAAACCCTGACGCGTTTTCGTCACACGACATAGTGCTGAAGTTATCGGCCACTTACTTTTTCCTTGTTGCTAGGGCTCAGGACATTTTGCGAGCTCCCTCTTGTACATGTTTTGACGCTGCTTGCCTGAAGGCCACGGCCTGTAGGCGAAGAGCTGCCGAGTTAGGCTACATCTGAGGGCCATGGTGTGTTTGACCTCGAGACCAGGCGGCGCGTGAAGACGCGCGGGCAGCCGTGCCCCGCACCCTGGCCCCAGAGCGCGCAAACGACAGGAGCGGGGGCCGTGTGCGCTGGCTGGCCCGGATCGAGTGCTGACCAATCGATACAGCAGTGTGCACCAGACCGCGTTGATAAACTTCCCAGACCCGCGCGAAATTATACTTCGTGGCGGTAAAGCGTCGAGTCATTGAGAGAAGCGGAGCCGGCTTCGTGATTCTACATATTTCTGCTGATTTTGGCGCAGTTTTCAGTTTAAAGGGGACAGACCCCGCTCTCACCAGTGCCGGGTATTGAATAACTCGCGCATGAGGATTGCTAAAATAAAGTGAACGCCTGAGACACCCGAAGTACAAAATGAGCCATTTGTTTTGATCACTATTCACGTTCAAAAAGCTGGCCGCAGCTGCAAACGGGACGACCCTCTTCACGTGTGGTCACCACCGTCCGGGGCCTGACGGGTGCTCCAATCAATAGATGTTCATATGACAACAAATTCACTGCAGTGATTGCGCTGAGACTCTGGGCTTTTACCGGCATTATGTATTACTTGCTTATGTAAAATTTATTTCAAGGGCAGTCTGGGATTAAAGTGCGCTAAACAGGTATTTCCGCCACCGGTGAGTGCAGCCAGAATAACTAATAATGGATTTTAACAAGGCTTTTGATGGCGATACGCGAGGAGTGCGGTGAAAGAACGTCTCGAAATCGGTGCCATGCGCAACAGGATCTGGGTTAGTCTTGAGGACGAAGTTGAGTTGTCTTGTTCTGTGGTTGGAGTTGGGCGCACGCAATGCCATAAGTACTTGTGCGATTGGATTGGGACGAACAATGAGTTGTTTTCTGCTTAATTGTCCAACTTTATCGGTGTCCGCCATCGCCTTAAGATACACAGTTCACCTCATGCAGATGTATTGACTTTGAAGCTCGTCCCTTTGTACATTCTGCTGGAAAACATTGAGCAGCTAACTGGCCTGAAAACGACCAATGAAAATACACCTTACACTCAGATCTTCATGCCTAAATCCAATGCAACTGTTATATCATATACAATATCAATTGTCATATTTCACTGCATGAGGCTTTACTAGCTGACGAGGTACACGGGAGGAGCTGGTGGGAGGGACTAGAGCCAGCTGCGGTGCGCGCATGGAGCGGACTGGGACCGACCAGCTGCACGACGCACAGCGCTGCACAATGCTACAGTCCCCTGTCGACCCCACAGGGGAGGCCAAGCTTGCATGCACATATGAGTCCTGGGAAACAAGCCACTCCCCCCTTCACCCCTTACGAAATGTAGAAGATGTTTCGTTACATACGCGACTATGTGTTGACAGTTAGAATTCCAAGAAAACACGTAACGAAAAGAAGATCAAGAAAATGCGATGTTCTTCGATGCGCCAGATATTGCTCTTCTGCTGCGCACTAAACTTGGTTTTCAGAGAAACATTTTATGCTGCGCCCCCGCGATTGTGAAATTATACACACTAGCCTTGCGGGGGTGCTGGCACCGCCTCGAGCATCAGCACTCCTTTCCTCGTTCCTGGCAAGCCGCGTGTGTGGACACTGAACAGATCTACGCGTAAACTTGTTACCGGCGGGCGGGGCGAGTTTCTGACGCTCGGTTCGTGCCAGGACCAGCCTGACACGGACCGGCCGCGGCAAGCCGACTCACAGCTCATGACTGACGTCGATGCGGAGCGACGCCGCATCGTCGATGCTGCGCCACCAATGCCCTCGGCCCCACCCGCCCAGCCGCCAGCGCCCACGACCCCCGCTCAGCCACCAGCGCCACCAACCGCATCCGCTCAGTCGCCAGCGCCCTCGGCTTAACCGGCTCAGCCGCCGGCGCCCTTGACACCCCGCTCAGTCACCAGCGCCACCAACCCCCATCCTCTTAGCCGCCAGCGCCCTCGATGCCCCTCGTTCACGTCTGCCCGTACGCCGCCCGGATCACGTCTTTGTGCTGCGGGAACAGCTGCAGCAGGCGCGCCGGCTCGGCCAGCGTGTACTGGAGTCGATCGAGCGCCGGCACCGCCGAGCCGCTGAGGAGGACGTACTCGGAGTCGGAGAGCACCTCGGTGGCGAGCCAGCCACCGGTGGGCAGCGCCAGCTGATACTTGGCGCCACGGTGCCGCAGTGGGTCACCCAGCACCATGCGCTGGTAGCGGCCCGACGCGCTCAGAGTGTGGAAGGCCACCGCCGCGCCGCGGTGGTGCCACACGAACGGCTGGCTGTTCGAGTTAATGTTCAGCCAGGGGATGCGCGTGCCGGCCGGCTGCAGCTCCAGGATCGTGTTGGTGGCCGCCACGCCCGGCTCGGTCGACGGCTTGTCGGAGGTGAAGACGGGTGTGTAGTAGGTGCCCGCCTGTGGGGTGTGAGCGTGCCGTTGGCGGAGGCGCAACATGCTAGGGGAGGCGTCATTAGTGCGACGGAGGCTGGCACTGACAGATGCCGGGGCCTTGGCATCAGCACTAAGTAGCCCTCGGGATCCCAAGGTCCAATGTTTGGATTTAAATCTCAAATGCAAGCAGTCAACTCGGAGCGGAGACAAAGTTGTGAAGATCTGACGAATAATCATGAACATCTGACAAAAATCATAAATATATGACATAAAGGTTTTTGTAAGGACCTGACAACTAGTCATGAGGATCTGGCAGATTTTTGTGAATACCTGATAACTAGTCGTGAAGGTCTGACAAATAACCATACAGATCTTACCAATAATCGTGAAGATCTGGCAAATAATTGTGAAAATCTAGACCGGCCCATTAATTTCCATTTCAGCAAACGACGCAGCGTGAACTATAGGCGACTAGATTCTTTCAGAATGCTACAACTGCATGATAAACAACCAGGTTTAATTTCAGGATATAGGAGACATGATAAATGGTCGGCTCTGATGTCAAGTTGTTCCAGCAACAAGGTAGACGGTTAGTTTCTAAGTGCAACTCACGATGATCTCCGACCAAACGGATGCGAAGCAAATAGAACAGCTCACACGCAACCCACTTACCTCCTTACTCAAGAAAAAGACGCATGCGATCAAGTAAAAGAGCTGAAGCGAACAAATCCTCGTGTAGCACTCGTCATCAGCGAGACATTTACCGGGGTCTTCTGCATGCCGAGCTTGTGGACGAGAGTCAGGTAGTCCGCGGGGCACGTGGTTTGCTGGAGCGCGCTGGTGATGCGTGCCAGCTCGCCGACCAGATCTTCCAGCTGGTGCTGGGCGCTGGCGCCAGCGCCGACCACCAGCACGAGCAGCAGCAGCCGCCGCGCAGCCTGCTCGGATGCCGTCATGGCTGTGGCTCGTTGCGGGTCCGGCCGGCTTGGTTTATGGGACGGCGCCGCCCCCGCCACGGCCGTCCCGGCCACATCCAACTCCGGCCCAGCGGCCAGCCGGCTGCGCCTGGGCCACCTGCAGCGGCGCTCTACCGCTTCAAAGCCGGGCGGTGCGCCGCGCTTCGGGAGTGCATCCGGGCAGATGCAAATGAGCAGAACATAGGGAACCTTTAATATCGAGCTATCCGATCACTCCAGGTTTGGACGACCGTGCTTCCAGTATACGAAAAAGTCTGAAGCGCACCGTGGTGTTTTCAAAATCTTAAAAGGGAAGTCACTCTTTGCTTTTTTGGATGCATCGCCTTGTGGTTTCGTTTGATCGGGATGTGGGAGAGTTATGACAGCCTGACGGCCCGCTTGTTTATGCCATGCTCCACTTGTTACACGTGGCGTTATGCGGTCCATTCGGCAGCCGTTCAGACGTGCGGTGGTATACGGGAGCCATGCGACACGGTTCGAGCTTCCTTCAGCGATCAGTCACTCAGCGATCAGTCAGCTAGCGATCAGTCACTCAGTGAGCAATCAGCCAGCGATCAGTCACTCATGGATCAGTCAATCAGCGATCAGTCACTCAGCGATCATTCACTCGGCGGTCAGTCACTCAGTGAGCAATCAGTCATCGATCTGTCACTCAGCGATCAGTCACTCAGCGGTCAATCACTCAGCAGTCAATCACTCGGCGGCAAATCCCTCAGCGATCAGTCACTTAGCGATTATTCACTCAGGGATCAGTCAGCGATCAGTCACTCAGCGATCTTCAGTCAGTGATCTTCAGTCAGCCAGCCTAAACCCCCGCTCGGGATGTGGCACGCACTGCATGTTCATGTTCTGGGTGTCACTGCAATGCGGCCATTAGCCTCGGGCGTGGCTCGAGCATAATACATCCTTTAGGGTGTGGTTCACAGGCCGTGATCACCCTCGCGTGCAGATTAAGTGGAACATAGCCATGACCTCTGACCCAGTGCAGTTTTACTAGGTTTTCAGACTTTGACGCCAGGAATAAGGAGGTGATATACCTGCTCGTGAAATTTAGATGGGGCAGCGAATTACCGCCCGTGAGTCAGACAGACGGGGGCGGTGTCGTGCCACTGGACGTAATTAAGCTGCAGTTTATTGAGCTGCACGTCAAGAGAGGCCGATGTTTATGATGGACTTCCGTGAAGCTGAGATCGAGCGTTTCTGTATGCGCTCAAAAGCACGTTCTTTTCGCCGTAGCAAGCTCCGCTTGGTAGCATTCTACACCGCATTAACAACTTTCGCTAGTGCTAACGTTCCTGCCATTCATAGCCATAGCCAATTACGATCTTGGTACAAGCCCGTGCTGTGGCAGTCTTTAAACCTACACCATTTTATATCACATATGTTATATATATATTATATATATATATATATATTACATTATATATATTATATTATGTATATAATATAATATTTTTGTATATATTATATACACATATTATATATATATATATATATATATATATATATATATATATATATTATATCACACGGCTGAAGCAATGTTAGCGACAGTGTCGCTGATCAAGCTGCTTGCTCCATTGCAGGACACGCCGTCCTCTCCGGATCATCCACCTTCGTCACATTCGACGGCAGGCTCTACAGCTTCCAGGCCGACTGTACCTACCTTCTTGCGGCAGACCTGCTGGACGACAGGTAACAGGCTCTCACACCAACAGTGTTGGAATTGAATGAAGTCCCCTGGTTTTACCTCGGGCGAGTGTCGCCTGAGGTAAACTCTCGGGCCAGTGTTGCCTGAGACCATTCGTGGCGCTGCGCGCGGTGCGTGACGTGCACGACCTCCCGTAAACTGCCGGATCAGCGCTGATTAAGGCGTAATGGCGAGGTAGAAAATGACGACCGCGGCGTAAAGTCAGTGAGAATATGGCGCGTGCAGATAAAGGCTTAGGCTAATACTGACAGTCATAATCATAAATGTAGGCAGGTTTAAAGTGGCGTTTATTTCACATTTATAGATTTGAAGATCTTCCCCAAACAGATTGGCCACTACAGCAACACAAATTTTTTTTTCTCGCCCATTTCGACCGCCAGATTCCAACCATAGTTAATGATGTAAATGCTAATCTATTCCCACCCTAATTAGCCAATTTCATTCGTGTAATTCACGCCGGAGCTGCATTCCAAACGTAGGAATTGATTTCCCAGACCGTTCAAAAGTTGTTTTAACCGTCCAGGTACCTATTTTAGATGCGTCATTATTTTTTGTCAGTCCGTTGGTCGCCGTCTATCGTTAGCCGTCGTCTAGGCGCAAGGTCGACGTGACGTCGCCGGTGGAGACTGCAACGCGGGGAGCGTCCTGGTTTTAATTTTTATGTTTACAAACGCGCATATCCAAAACTATGGGACACTAATTTTATCACATATTGATTTTGACTTAAGGCTGAGCATTCTCAGACGAGCATGTGTTGGCCATGTTATTAAGAATGTGTGACGCCATTTCGATCTACAGTCTCTGATCGCGAGGCCCTCAATATCTCTATGCAAAATCTGACAAAACCTTTGAGTTCTGCCGGCTTACAGAGTGTTCACTGAACCCTTTAAGATTAATAGCGCCGACGGATTACTATATGCAGTTATTTAACGTCCGGTTCCTTCAGTTTAATGACTTCAAAATGCAAGCAGAATATCAATCACGAGCAACTGCTTCTATGAAGAGCGCTTCCTACACTTCTATGATTTGTCCCGCGCTTCTACGCTTCATTGTCCCCACCCTGGTTTTGGGGGAAACATGCTGCATTCGCTATTATTACCGGCAATACGGATGAGTCACAGAGTCGACGCATTGTTTGGCTTGGCTGACTGACTGGTCAGCTGCCAGCTCGTCAACGACGCTCAAAGCTGCCCCACCAGTCCTATACTGCTATCTATTTCATTGCTTTCCCTTTCATTTTGTGGACCGCAGTTTCACTGCTCCCAATTAAAGCATCTTAGTCCTGAAGTAGTAGGAAACTAGTTATGCCACCGGCTCACTTAGTTTCAGAGAGCTGTGATGTCTGGAAGTAGTCCCTGAACTAGCATGCTTATCACTGTTGGCACCATACACGCCGCACGTGGATAGATGGGCCGTGGAATGCTTAACACGCGTTCGGGTGAGGGTCAATTTGATCCCCTTCCTCCGTGCATTGTCCCAGCATGATTTCCGAACGGCGCGGCTTATTTTTCTGGTGATGGTTTTGAATTTGTTTATGCCAGGAAGCGCATAATACATATTGCATGGACTTCTTGAAGCTCAGGACAGGTCACTGACCTAAAATAACCCAGGTCAACTCTTCGTTTTTAGGAACATACCGCCTAGCGTAATCCTTGGCGATTATTCAAATGCAAAAATCAGAGCAGTCCTGTATGATTTTTGTCAGCATCACCTTCTAAAGGTCAAACAAGGTCACTAACCAGGAATGAACACCCGTGATCTTTTCATTAGAACAGGTGTCTAGGTTCACGGCGGTTACATGAAAGGTCTGGGGACACTTTGGACACCAATGTGAAGTTCGAAAGTGACCTTATTCAACCCTGGGGATTTCAAATTTCAATACAAGTGAGATCACGGACAGGCAAACACACGTTGCTTTTTTAGTGCCTTTAGGTCCCTAAGTTTTTAAGATGGCATGTGGTAAATTGGCCTCCACCCGAGCGAAGGGTATTCAACCGGCCCCCCGGGCGCGTGTTAAACTCATCAAATTCAGCAAATCACTGAAGGTGCTGCCCACGTCGTTACAGCCATGTTTCGTCACAACGAAATAGCCATCCAATGTTGTTGCGGCATCGAAGTGATATTTTGCGACATGAAAGTTCTTGATCCGTTAACGTTTAAGTACTTCAGTTGCTTGCCAGAATAGGATGCCCCCGATGGTCATAGCAGATGGCATTTCAATTAGACTTACCATACCAGCCTGTCGTTAAAACGAAAGGCACGTAATTTCGGGCCGTATTTTAGCAATAATGCAAACATGCATCATAAGAATCGCAGTGAGTGCTCGGAATCGTCGTCAGTGACGTAACCGCAGCACGTGATCGAATGAAATGTTAACGATTACAGGGCGACAGAAGAACAATAACCGCAAGCCCATGCCACTGAACCGATCAGGCCAATAGACGTGGCAAGCGTTTTATTCTCGGGTGTCATCAGGTGCAGCTAAAAAGTCAAGCTCTCGAAAAACCTGACACAGACGAGGCCTAAAAAATGAAGCGTATGTCCTATGGTCGGCCATCATCTATAATATACTACGATGCGTTTGGCTATTGCCCTTCTATCGTGTATTCTGTCTCCAATTTTGCGCTCACGCTTGATAAACTGGAAGGCCTCAACTTCGAAACCTTAAAAACGATTTCTGAATTGCAAGTTTCATATTATTATGGTGACATGATAGCCTTATTTACGATAGTGACGTTCCATGTTATGTCCCAAGTAGATTACGTGATGGGACATTGATACGTGTTCATTATTGCGTACCTATTGGTACATTGGAATGTGACGGCGCATGCGTGATGCTAACACCTCGTGTCAATAATTTCCTAGGATATAGTGCATGAATATATATATATATATATATATATATATATATTATATCTATATCTATATCTATATACCCAACACCCCATACACGCTTTTGCCAGCATTCTTGATTGCGCGTTATTGCTTAGCTCGAGCGATGCATGAGAGAATATCAGCTGTTACTTGTTTCAGCACTTACGAGAATGCGGTACCCTGTCGATGCCATGATAACGATTACAAAATTTTCGGTTTCAGTTTTCGCTGATGCGTTGTTGTAGGCAGGTGCGTAACCAAGAAGGGCCTGAGAGTGAATGGGGGCAGCTGTGATCTGTTAGAGTAATGAACCTCACCTTTAGCGGTGATCCTATTATTCCAGCGTCAGAATGTTGCGAATTAACGGTCGCCTGCCACGCCTACTAGTTCCACACCTCCAGAACTCGCGCGAGGGAGGTAGTGTGGAAGCTAATCCTGGCGACGCCGTTGGTTGCAGTGTGTGTGTGTGTGTGTGTGTGTGTGTGTGTGTGTGTGTGTGTGTGTGTGTGTGTGTGTGTGTGTGTGTGTGTGTGTGTGTGTGTGTGTGTGCGTGTGTGTGTGTGTGCATGTGTGTGTATGTGTGCGTTTGCGTGTGGGTGGGTGTATAACTACGCCATTTTGCAAGCTTGCTAGGCTACCACATTGTGTAGGTGGCTCCGAGCTTCCCTACCGACTACTGTCATCAGGGGCTTTGGTTACTGCTTGCCTAGATTGCAAAAAAGCGCGTCTCTTGTCTGCAGTGCAGCACGCCTATGCCATTCAGGAATTAGTCAGTCAAGCCACTTACTTACCCCTGAGCACGTCGCGTGTCGGAAAAAGGAACTTCTGCATATGTCGCCTTTTGGTAGATTTTCCTGCCTTCAAAATGGTCCGAATTATGTACTATGTATCTCGACTTGTTTTTGCATATCCCCAACCATGTTCTTGTGGAATTTGTCGCATTTCGTCATAGCGCCATTTATCGTGCCATTTTATATCATGTTGTTGTGACGCATTCATACTTACGCTTCCCGTATTGCACGGCTGTTCAGTGGTGATTTGCAGAGATGGTATCAGCAGAGTTCCATTTCACAAACTCATACGGAGCGATCAGGAGACGAAGAAGGTATAGTTCCGTTTTACAAAACCGCTTGTCGATTGTTGTTTGGTGGAACACTGTAACAAGTGGCATGCTTGCGTGCGGTGAGTATCAAAATAAGCTTGTAAATTGGGACAGAGATTGCGTTAAATGTGCCCATCATATGTCATTCAGCGCGTATATGATCAAGCTGACGTTTTTATGTTTACTGCAGTCAAAGGAACAGCATATTTCACTCAACCATTGAAGGTAGTATCCACATTTGGGGCATACTTTTAAAAATACTTCAGGACAAGTTAGTCTGCTAATTATATCAGATCAGATCATAGGGGTGATCTTTTGTCCGTGTCACACCCCAGAAGAAAGTAATTTTGCAACACTTCCGCTGCTCCAAAAGCAAATTGCGTGTACTTAAAGCAATGTCCTGTTCTATGGTTTTGGTCAGTCATCTGTGGCGCTCGATTGACTTGGATAACCCAGTTTTGTAGAAGTGGCATTCAGAAGAGTCCATGAGGCTTCCGTTCTAACCAACTTATAGGAACCACTGCAAGTTTTAAGCACGTTCTTTCCACGTACTGGAAGAAGATAGAATTTGCTTGACGAGTCCGCAAACCCCACTTTACGGTGGGTGGATATACGTATGCCTGCTTGTGCCTTTGTGCGTGGATAGACCCAGTTCATTGCATAATGTCAGTAGATCTGTTCTCGGAGTTCAACCGCGCTGAACCTTCAGTGTGATGTGTCTGCATCTGGCGTTGATAAGGCATTTCTAGGATCGAACGCCCTCTCGTTGCAGGAAAACTACGCACACCGCCTACGCGGGCACCCAGCTGCTCGCCCCGCTGTTTGGATCACCGCTGGGCTGATGTGAAACAGGGCCTGGTTCCGGGTGCTGATTTCAAACGTAACTTTCAAATGACCTCACCATAGGACCATATGATATACGTACACACACACACACACACACATATATATATATATATATATATATATATATATATATATGTATATATATATGCATATATATATATATATATATACATGAGGATATATACATATAAACAGATAGATAGATAGGTAGATGTACCAACCAGATGCTGATCTGGTTAATATTTAGGAAGTTTCTGCTATGTTTGTTCCTTTTTAGTTCGCCGAACACACCGATAACACCTTCACAGAGGCAGCTGTGGAATATGTGTAAGGACAGGGGCCGAAGCAAATACATGCCAACGCAGTCTTCTCTAGCACAGATGAAAGGCTGCGTAAGGGCACCAGCAATCGAAAAGATTTGCTGTCCTTGCTTTAAAATGGTTGTGGACAATCAATTGATTCGGTAAAAGTTTGTAAGGAACATGAGCAACTGGCCGCAAGCAGTGGTGTTGGCATTCATAAAAGCCGCATCACCAACGTTGTTTTCACGTTGCTCACTCGCTCTGCTTGTGAATAGAAATATTATGCAACCACCTGCCTCGACCATCATATACCATACCCCGCATACCCCCACGGAAAATGTTTTAGTGAGAAGGCATTACACCTGACATTTGCGCTTCAAAATGCTTATGGTGATCACACAAGGCGGTGCTCGGAGAAAATGTCTATACGTAGAGCCTAAGCTGTTGGATGAATGATGATCTAAGCACTCCAAAAATGTATTATGCCCCTCCGTAAAATATCTGTACACTCTGCGGGCTACATTTAAGATTAAGAAATGTGCGCAAATTTTGACACCCAGATACCTCGGTTTTTGAATAACATCAAACGAAGGAGGGCGCATGAGCGGCGGCCTTCTAGGACTTCATTCATTCCCCGCTCTGATCCGGACTTCGGCGATTAAACAAACCGTAGATAAGTCCTCACTTCCTCACTTCCTCACTTCCTCACTTCCAGTGTTTTGTGGTCGCACAACCTTCTAGCATTCAGCTGGATCATTTGCTTTGAAAAAATGTTATCGATCAATATGTGAAGGATTGCGATAGGCCAGTGAGGATGTTGACGGCCGGCAGCGGGTCGGCCGGTCAGCAGTGTTAGTGCCGTGCCGTGACCGGTGCCGACGTGTGCAGGTTCGCCGTCGAGGCCACCTTCCGGCGCCACGGCTCGGTCACCAAGACGATCTCGGTGACAGCCGGCGGGCACACGATCCGGCTCGGGGGCGTTGACGGCTTCCGGGTGAGCCCCCCCCCCCACCCCCACCCCCACCCCACCCCCCTCCGCCGCCCTCGCGGCGGACCTTGCGGTGGTATCGCTCGTAAGGCGCTCAAGGAACTTGCTGCCAGGAGTCCTCGACGCTTGTCATGAAAGGCAACTGTTATGGTCCTTGTCTGTGTCTTTTGGTGCCGGCGTTGGGGCGCTTGGGGTAATCTGCTTCACGAGATGGCCGTTTTAGAATTGCTAGTACCCAAGTGAGTGTTTTCCGCGACACCTGTCCTAACCCAGGAGGCTGCGGTCCGCACAGCTTTTTCCGGTGGTGTTCGCCATGGCTCACTTGGACCGCCATCGTTCGGTGTTGTGTCACAAAGACGACTCCGTGGAATGCTGGGTCGGCTGGCGATGTCATCCTGTTGTTGCTGAGGTCAAGAGGGCACGGGTTCAATGCACACGTACGACTGTGCATGTCCTATACGGAGCCTGACTGAGGTCGGAATGCTGCCACAGCTATGTGAGTCTTGTCTCCAGGTCGTTGTTTAGGCAGCCCCTGTAGCAGCTCAGCAAGCTCAGAGGTCCCGTGTGTCGCTCTGTTAGCCAATCCAGCACTGAATCGGACGGCGAGCTGGGTGTGATCCACTTCGTTGACGTCATCACCCTGCGGCCAGATCACGGCCGATGACCAGCCGGCCGAGGCACCGCTGGATCTCGGCGAACTGCGAGTGACACGCGCCGGGGACACCGTTTCCGTGCTCCTGCCCGGCTGGATGGAGCTGCACTGTAACCAGGGCTCGGACGTCTGCAGCCTCGAGATCAGCCGTGAGTGGTGTCAGTACCGAGCTGCGGCAGCCCCAGCGCCTGCCGGCACCGAAGCTTCAGCGCCCTCGGCGCACAGTCGGCCGGGCCCGCTCATGGTACAAGGAGCGGACAGGCAGGAGCTCTGCGAAACGGCTGTACAGATGTCTGCAGGGATGTTAAACACACTGTGAGCGATGCCCCCGGCCGTGTAGCAGTGTTGCCGCGCGTGCCGTGTGCCAGACGCTGTCCGTTCGGCCGGCAGGCTGGCTGTTCGGTCGGACCGGCGGTCTGTTCGGCACGCACGACAACGAGCCGTACACGGACCTGGAGTCGCCGGACCACCTGCGCGCTAGCGGGGCTCTGTTCGCCTCCTCCTGGGCGCTGCACAAGTGCCGCCGGCCGGCCCACATCGTCGAGCCGGGAGCGGCGGCACCCGAGACCGTCAGGTAGGCAGCGTCTCACGCACTGAAGGCCGGCAAGTAGGCAGCGTCTCATGCTCAGGAGGTCGTCAGGTAGGTAGCTTATCCTGCTCAGGAAACTATAGAAAAGCAGCGTTTCCTGCCCGACAGAGCGTCCGGTAGAGAGCGTCTCCTGCCTGGCAGAACGTTGGGTAGGGGACGTCTCCTGCCCGGCGGAGCATTCCGGTAGGGGGTGTCTCCTGCCCGGCATAGCTTCCGGCAGGGGATATCTGCTGCCCGGCAGAGCGTCCGACAGGGACGTCTGCTGCCCGGCAGAGCATCCGGCAGGGGACGTCTGCTGCCCGGCATAGCGTCTTGTTGGGGCAGCGCTTACTGGGGAGTTTTTATTATCCGTTTCCTGTTTTTGACAGGTTAGGGAGACAAATCAACGCTGTCAGGAAACCAATGCTCGATAAAAATCAATAAAAACGGAAATCCATGCTGTATTCGTGAGAACTAACTGGCAATCAGCGCCCTCTGGCCGGGCGACCGTCAGTTAGCCATCGCCCTCTGCCGGAAAGACCGCTAAGTAATCTGCAATCTCCGACCGGGAGGCTGCCAGGACGTCGGCATTTCTCTATAGACTGTCAAGTAATGTCATGTGTCAGTCTGATGCTGTCAGGTAGTCAGTTAGACACATGGGATGCTATCAGGTCATCGAGACCCGGTGGACTGTCTGATCCAGAGAGAAAGTCAGGTAATCAGTCCCTGCTCGACAACGCTGCGCTCTTAGCACACTGTCAAAAACCGTGAGGTAATCAGAACCCGTGCCTGCTAGTCAACGGGGTAATCAACATCCCTTGACGAGACACTCCCATGTGATCACTGCTCCATGTCCAGGACCGGCAGGCAGTCAGCATCTCGTGTCTGAAAGGTCGTCAGCAAAAAGTGTATCATCCCCTTCCCCGAGACTCTCAGGTATGTAATTCGCTACCACAGAAACCACCACACAATCATTGTCCTCTTGGCTGAGCATGTCAGGAAAATGTGAGACAGGCAATGCCTTCTGCCTGGGAAGCCCACCAGGTAATCAACGACCAAGCCTGCAGGCCGATAGCGAAAAACGCTTGCCTTATGGAGCTTCAGGAAGTCGACATTCCTGTTTTAAATCTGCGAGGTAACCAATAACCCTGCTCGAGAAGGTCAGAGGACCAATTACTTTTCTGGTGGCTGCCAGATAGTCTGCGACTCTGGTAAAAACAGACGGCTTATACACATACATGAGCCTGTTTAACAGTTGATATCTCCCGTCCGAGACAATCTAAGCAGCGCCGTGCTGAATGCTATCTGGTAACCAATATGCCGACATTAAGCCAGGGCGGTGGGACTTGACGGCGTGCCGCTGTATGTCTGGCATACGCGCTTCCCCGTTATCAGACTACACCTGCTTCATCTTCATCATATCTTATCATCATCATCATCATATCATGCTCTCATCATCATCATCATCATACTACTGCTACATCAACATCTCTGTCTCCTCTTGTGTTTTCCCTGACTACTGGAACGCTACCTCTACAACCTCTCTTTACAAATCTGGCCCCCATGACATCCCTAGTAATTTCAGACCTATATCAATATTACATTTACTGCCCAAAATGTGTGACCGAGTCGTGTGCATGCAGCTGTCGTCCCACCTCGCTGCCCATGACCTATTAGCTCCATCACAGTACGGTCACAGACCTTGCCATTCAGCAGGTGACGCCCTGTTCGACGCCGTTGAGTGGGCGGTACGTCGGGTTGACGCTGGGCACATTGCCGCCGTCACCTCCATTGATCTAGGCCGTGCCTTTCATAGTACCGACCATGGAGTTCTTCTGACAAAGCTGCAGTCGTATGGCATTGATCCGAAGTGGTTTCAGAGCTACCTTGCTGCTCGGTGGCAAGTAGTGAGAGATGGTCGTCTGTCTGTCTGTCTGTCTGTCTGTCTGTCTGTCTGTCTGTCTGTCTGTCTGTCTGTCTGTCTGTCTGTCTGTCTGTCTGTCTGTCTGTCTCTCTGTCTGTCTGTCTGTCTGTCTGTCTGTCTGTCTGTCTGTCTGTCTCTCTCTCTCTCTCTCTCTCTCTCTCTCTCTCTCTCTCTCTCTCTCTCTCTCTCTCTCTCTCTCTCTCTCTCTCCTCTCTCTCTCTCTCTCTCTCTCTCTCTCTCTCTCTCTCTCTCTCTCTCTCTCTCTCTCTCTCTCTCTCTCTCTCTCTCTCTCTCTCTCTCTCTCTCTCTCTCTCTCTCTCTCTCTCTCTCCTCTCTCATTCTCTCTCTCTCTCTCTCTCTCTCTCTCTCTCTCTCTCTCTCTCTCTCTCTCTCTCTCTCTCTCTCTCTCTCTCTCTCTCTCTCTCTCTCTCTCTCTCTCTCTCTCTCTCTCTCTTCTCTCTCTTCTCTCTCTCTCTCTCTCTCTCTCTCTCTCTCTCTCTCTCTCTCTCTCTCTCTCTCTCTCTCTCTCTCTCTCTCTCTCCGTCTCTCTCTCTCTCCCGCCGACTCACGGTGTCCCTCAGGGACCCTTGACGACCCTTTCCTCTTCAACATCTTCATGAACGATCTCCCATCTTACCTCCCTCACGGTCGACTGGTGTTCCACGCCAACGACATCGAACTGCTTAACTCCGCTCATTCAGACCAACTATCTGTTTGAAATCCCTACAGGAGGAAGCCATCCCAGGGATTCAATCCTACTTCACACCACATCATTTCACTCTAACTTCTTTAAAATGACCTCCACCATAACAGCTCTTCTCCTTCTTGGTACTGTGCTATGCTTGAAGAAAATGTCATTTTTCACCTGGACATTGCGGGAGACAAATTAACCCTTTCGCCATCCGTGAATATGCTGGAATTTCCTATTAAAGGTGTCTTTTCCTGGGAGGTGCAGATCTCTCATTTTGTCAAAAAGTGCTACTCTGTCCTTTTATCCTTACCAAGAATTCGTCACCACCTTACGCCTAAAGCTTGTAAACTTCTCATCCAGCCCCACGTTTTCCTTCATGTTCCGTATCGCGTCTCGGTCTTGGGTCGGGGCTGCAGAGTGTCACCTAAACAACGTGCAAGGCGTGACAAACTCTGAGGCCAGGATCGCCATCGATGCTTGGCGGGATTCAGCGGCCGCGACTGTTCAAGCGCTGGGCTGGTGCAATGTTGTCGCGTTGTCACTCGCTGTGACGGCCTCGCTGTTGTCAGGGTCCTTATGACTGGCGGGTTCCGGCGGCGAGCCGATCCATGTTCCCGAGCCGATCCATGTACGATCGATCGAGGGAGCGATCTAGGCGAGCCGATACGAGGCGAGCCGATCCATGTACCGCTGTACGCTAGCGCGTCAGCCGGGCGGCAGCGCGGGCGCCCTTGATCTGCCAGCCCTTCGCCTGTCGGCGGCACGCAGGGCTTTTGCGCATCCCCCAGCCTCATCCTGGAGCCGCCTTCCGCCGATCGTCACCACCTCGTGTCCCCGGTTAGGTTCGAACCAGACTAGACGATTCAGACAGGCCCGATGCGTGATCATCGCTCGCTCGCCGTTCTGCAACGTGTTGCCGAGTTAGGTTTTGGTTGATGATCGTATTTGTGATGAAGCTGTGTGAATAGATGAATGGTTGATAACGTATGAATAACTTGGCTCGCGCCACGCCATGTCAAGCTATGTCGTCGCGTTATTGTCATGCTTTTGTACGTCATTCATACTAATATTGTAGTTGTACCGAATCAAACAATGAGCCACTGGTTGGGATGATTCGTGAATGCTACGAACATGAACATGGATAGTTGTCGATATGCACCTTGCAGGTATTCAGGTACGAAGCCAGAACTCCTGGCAGACATAGGCACAACCATGGGTTTGGGGCCTGCCCCTTCCCCTAGACCAAAACTTCTTCCCCCTCAATCCGCGTGGTACGTTCCCTCTGAGATCCGGGCCCACTTTAAGACAATCCTCACAGCGACCCTGCTGGTACAGGGACGATACAGGAATAGCACAGGGGTGGTATAGGGATGGCACAGGGATGGCACAGAGATGACACAGGGATGGCACAGGGACGCCGGTGCGGAGATAGCCGTCATAGTCGAAGTGCCCGTGAACCCCACTGAATGATACGTGGCCTGGCAGTCGGCCGTATAGTCTCCTACCGGCAGATACAGTCATTAAGTTATGAACTTGCCGAAAACTAATGAGTTTGAAAAAGTGTTTTAAAGGGATTGGTTCTTCCAACACAGCTTTGTAATTCAAAGAGAACTGCGGCACGCTCTTTTGATTACTTGATACTTTTAGCTTTGCCACCTGCCGTATATTTAAGCAGCAGTACTTCTACAAAGTGCTGTCTTTAGCATAAAAGTACTACCCTCGCTGCAGCAGAAGCACCTACCGAACAGAGTCGTCACCGTTACCGTCGTCGCCAGGAATGATTTTCAATGGTTTCCACGGGTGGCTGTTGGCTCATATCTCAAGAGGTTGTAGCTGTTCACAGGTTACGCTCGTATTCTGGCCCAACTCTGGAGAAATCCAGGACCAACGGCTTACTTTCCACTCGTTCCTGCTGTTGTTGTTGGACATGACTGGGGGTTGGATCGGTTACGTAGAGTGCTACGGGGTGGTCGGCCATTCTCCGGTCAGTGATGCATAAAGGGACGGTGTTTGCGTCTTAAGCAGTTCGCACTAACCTTAAGCTGGGTAAGACAATGGCTTGTTGTCAGCAAGAAATCGTTTCCGAATTTTGTCATGTTTTCTTAACTTGACGTGCATCATGCAACAAAAACAAAGCCTCATTTCATGACGTGTTGCACAACATCACGCTGGCGGCCGTCCGAAGAGCGTGCTCTGGGTCGCGCTGCCAGACGCCGGGCGGGACGCTGGGCGAAACGGCCGCCGTCTGCCGCGCCGGTGTCGCCAGGGCCCTGCTGCTATGGCACGGTCGGCTGCATATCGGAGCAATATCTGGGGTCTAGCTCGGGTCATGAATCAGTGCCCAACTCAGACGCGGAGCCGTGCCAGGCTGGGTTGCTCGTAACGTCCATAAAGAGGGCTAGCGTGTAAAGTTGGTGTGGCCGTGCCGCTTCCACCCCAGAGATAGGTGGTGACGTCATTGGCTAATCAGGTGGTGCCGATCGATCATGACACGTGAGAGGTGCCGTCGGTCCGGGCGCCGGTCCCCCTCCCCCCCCCCCCCGCTGGCACCGCGCCGGCACACCCGAGAGCCCCACCGCGGCCACGCGACACCCCGCCCCCTCCCCCGCCACGCCTTCCCCTCCCCTGGGGGGACTGGGGGTCGGTGTCAAGTGACAGGACGCGCCTGAGGAGCACAGCAGCGTGCAGCCAGGCTTCGATGGTCGTACTTTTCCACCCGGTCTGTGGTGACCCCGCCCCGCCTGGCATCTCGGCTGTCGTAACGGCGTGGTGATGTCACACATCACGTTCATCCGGCGGCGCCTTCCGTCGCTTCGCCGTAGGCCTGGGCTTACCTTTTTAACCATTGTTTATGTTGCTTTAAGCATTCCAAATAAGCATACACACATCGCGCAGGCGTATCTGCCAATCACTGTTTACGTTCTTTGAAGCCTTCGAAATAAGCCTCTGCGGATCGAATTCATGACATCCACGATATTGACATTCACGCGTGGGCATGTATGTGCTCTTCATTCCCCGCTGTTGGGTCCTGCCGTAGAAGCTGAAGTGCATGCCATCGCTGCACCAGGCGCTGTCGGCTCAGAACATTTAGCGGGCTACGCCGTGTGTACACAATACCTCCGCCCCTCGCCGACAATGCAGCACGGGGAAGGGCGGAGGTATTGTGTACACACGGCGTGACATTTCGGTTTGTGTTAGATTCGTGGTATATGGATTGTTCCATATTTGTACGGGGTTTTGAACTGAGATAGCCCTTTCCATGATCATTCTTTCCCGTTGACAGCTATGGTCTTTGTACGACTTTAAATTTGTTTGCTTCTGAGATCGTGCAGCCTTTTACGCACCACCCATCTGAAAGTCACTCAGACATTTGCGACGCCGTAGAGGCGTCACGCGAATACCCCGCGCCATTGGATAAATGGTGCTGGTGTTCAAGAAAGTTATCGTCGTTACACATTCTCGTTTGCGTTGATGCAGCATCAAGTGTCCCACGATAGAGGGTAAATGGCTGAAATTCCTCTTGTGCTGCTGATAACATGTCTTGATCTAGAACTGCAGTATTATTATAAATAATGTAGGCATTTGGGCAACTGCTGGATAAGTGATCATGATAATAAGAATCAAACAATTTGATAATGATGTCGTAACTTAAATGCAAATGGACGTAAAAGTCATGCCACCACGGACAAATATGCAAGAACTCCAGAAAAAAGACAAAGCACGTGCACATGACGCTCGCAACCTGAATTTACGTACTATAAACCGACAGCGTCACGTTGCGGCGAGTACAGGTGTCATAAGTGAGTTGCGCCATCCGCTGCAGCGGCAACTCTGGCTGCGTCTCTGATGCTATAAAAGCATTCCATGACATAAGCAAACATTGCATTGAGGGGCATATTTACTGATGAGTGAAGTTTTGGTACTTGGAGCAGCTTTGCAGTTAAAAACCTGTCAACAAATGAAGTAATTTTTTCCATCATATGTGACTGGTTGCCTCGACATCTTAAAATGTCGAACAGCTCCTTCAACACTTGGCGAAGCTTGTCCATTCTCCTCGTTCTGCCCTGTGAATGCACAGACGAATTCCCGGAAGGCATAAGGTGGTGTTCTTATTGTATCTGGATGTACACACATATGTGTATCCACAGAATGAATGTTGATTTTGTCTTACGTTCGTCGATATGGATGGTGCTGGCACAGAGGTGCTGGTAAACCCATTGGGACGGAGTGCAAGGGATGAGGCCCAGGGATGGGGAGATCATAGATGACGATAAGGGATATGGGATTAAATATGGAGGGGATTGGGCTGCGTTGCAAGCACACGGCCGCGACGACGGCTTAGATTCCATGTATTCTTGTCTTCCGGTGCGCACCTGAGACGGTCAGTGTCTGCCATCCTTCAGCGCTGTGTGTTTCAAAACGTTTTAAGGTGTCTGATGAGTTGCACGTGCGGTGTTCATGTCGTGAGTATATTCGACTAACTAAGGTTGTAGACAACTTGCTGTGGGACAAAAAAAGCATTGTATATTGAAATACCGGATATATTGCCAAAACATCACATAATCTAAATGTCATCATGCAAATTAAGAATCACAAAATAAGCCACGACGAGAGTGATCATCATTACGGTCAGTGTTAAAGCAACCTTGCTGCTCCTGCTGCAGATACCCTGATGACATTATTCGCCCTGCACTCGGTTGAGTGCATGTCAAAGGGCATATTTGGGTTCGAGGAATGCACTTTTCTTGCAGTCATGCAGGACCCGCCAGACGCCCTTTACTGCACTCAGAACTAGCCCACTTTAAGCCACGGTCGGTCTGAGTCTGCCGTAAGCTCCAAATGGTTCCGCAGGGTGTGGAGAACTGTTGCTTCGTGCACACCCCATCTGTCGCGTGATAACATGTGCGCCGTGCGTGAGGCCCATCTGCCCGCGGCCGCCTCCGCTCCCGCGCCGCCCGCCGTGCGTGAAGCATATCTCCCTCCGTGCCCAGTCGGTCTGCCCCTCCCCCCGCTCCCGTGCCGTGCCCTGAACGTGCCTCCCCGTGCGGCCAGCGTGCGGACGGCGAAGCGGTCGGACGGCTTCTGCTGGGGCTTGCTGGGCGCGCCGCAGTCCGAGTACCGCGCCTGTCACCGGCTGGTCGACCCGGCGCCCTTCCTCACCGCATGCCAGCAGCAGGGCGACGAGAACCGTTGCGTCGCCGTGAGGGCCTACGTGGAGGCGTGTCGCCACCGCGGCTGGCCGCTCAAGATGCCCAACAAATGTGTGCAGTAAGTGTAGCGGGTACCGGCGGGCCGCTGCGAGCAGCGGCTGGCCGCTTCATGCCCTCCGGGACAGGGGCTTGGCAATGCAACAGCGGCGGTGACAGGGCGACAGGACGCCGCGTCACACTGCCCGGGGCAGGGGCTGAGATGTGCAGCAGCGGCGGCGACGAAGCGGCTTCAGGCCGCGTCACACTGCCCGAGGCAGCGGGCTTGGAAATGCAGCAAATACAAAGACTTCTGGCGATGTAGCGTTACCTTCCATACCGTTGCGTTTATCGTTGAGCTGGCGTGGCAGTGCGTGTCCCGGCAGTGTCAATAGCGCCTGTCTGATTGGACGGCCGCCGCCAGGGCGGTGACGCAGAGCCAGCGCAACTGATGCGTGCGCCGCGTGACAGTTCCGAGGCTGTCGATTGCAGCTCGTGCTGGAAGGGCGCCACCTGCCGGCGACTGGCCGCATTCTCGCTGATGTCTCGTCGCGGCAGCCTAGATCGGAACCGTCTCTCCATTCTGATCAGTCTTGTGTGTGTGGGCGGCCTGGCTCTGTTAACTTTCCTAACGGCGCAATAGGACCTCTCGCGTTGATCACCTGCGTAATCTGCTTGTACGGCAGTCTTCAATGTCTATAACAGAAATTTATTACTGAACAACATCTGGCGGTGAACAATCGTCTTTTTTCTGTGGAGGAATGTTTTTGTTTGGTAGCGTTGTTTGTTGAATGCTGCTTTTCATGGCATAAAAGCCGTGGTAAAGCCACAGGGCGTTTGACGACTGTACGCTAAGGGCAAAGTTTTTCGTATGGTGTTTATCAGTTGGCGTAGGTGTTCCCTGCGTGCGCTCTTTCAGGGTTGACTGAAAAGGAAAATTAAAGTCTTCCGTTTCACAACCTCGTTAATTTCGCAAGCTCTCAAGGGAGTTTGCAAACGTCTTAAGGTCTTTACCATTGCCTCAACACTCAGGGAGTTAGCCAATTCCCTGACTAGGCTGCAAATTCCGTGGTTCTTATGCGCTTCGTAACATATTTAGCGTATAATAAGTGGGCCTAAATATTACCGCAGTTAAGGTCTTGGTTTGGCTTGATTAAGTGAGCATGAACTTGGCTACATTTGCATCCGTGGAAACAACGCCGGGTTTCATTACTCTCGATATATTCACATATGTAAAGTCTCAATTCGGTGCATACTTGTCCATATCGAACAAGCATAAAATTGTGGGCCAGTTACATAAAAAGCAACTACGCCTCCAGCGTCGTGCCAGCGAGCCGCCTGGTGCGCGGAGTGTGCCCTTGCGCACGTGAACCTGCCGCCGGCCGGCAGGTGCGAGATCGACGGCAAGCCCGTGTTCGAGGGCAGGACGGTGCGCGTGCAGGGCGAGACGCCCGCCACCGAGGTGGTCTTCATCGTGGAGGCCAAACAGTGCAACGCCAACATCACGGCCAGACGCAGCATCGGCCGCCTGGTGAACTCCCTGAGCATAGCTCTGCGACTGGAGAAATTCGCCACCACGAAGTGAGTGGGGCAAGGGGGGGGGGGGACGTGCTGGTTCCTGCGTTGGTTGTTATGCCTCGCGGCGGAGGCGCGGTCACTGTAAGGCCAAGTTTGTGGGCCACCATATCGCAGTTTTCAGCTCGCGCACACGGTCAAGGTTTTTTCCCAACGTGGCTCGTCAGAATCACGCTCGAGTGACTGACTGACCCTCTCGCCGTAAACATCCGCTCGCTCAAGCCGCCTGCGTGTGAATCTGCGTGCAATTTGCGGCGAGCCACTCGCTACTTCGCGGAAGTCCTCCTCGCAAGTACGGTCGTCTATTATGATTAACGGTGTGACGTTATCGCACTGGAACTGCGCTCTAATAACGACGCCAACGTGTCCTGGACTGCGCCTCGGACCGGCCCAGCCGCCACCGATTGTGTATAATTAACAGTGGCGTCGGCTGAAGGCAGCGACCCGCCTTTGTAAGATAAGCACACATAGCTTCAACGAAAATGTTCGCTGCGCAAAACGATGGCAACGAACTCGTAGTTTAGTCAGTTGCCTGGCGTCGTCAGGGGGACCCATCAGGGTGCTGACCCCGACAGCGGTGCAGCTGGCGGTGACGTCACTTGTATGCGGCCGACACAGGTGTGGCTACCGCTATCGGCCCCTGGTCGAATCCTAGTCGATGGGCTTTTTGCCGACCAGGTGCCGACGGTCGTCAACACCAGTTGCGGCGCTCCGCTGTGAGCGCTGTGGTGGAAAGCGAAATCAATGGAATCAACGTGGATATCGTTTTTAGTGTTCTGATGGAAACCGGGACTAAACAAACTTGAACACGCAGGTGATTGAACGCGAACGCTTTTATTTGATGGTTGACTCTTGATTCCTCCGACAACTTACGAACACATGTCACCGGCTCACCGCCTGCCATGGATATATCGGTCTAAGCAATGACGACTCGCGCATCATGTGACACAGCTGCGAGAGAGACGGCTACGGAGGGGGGGGGGGGAGGGGAGGAACAGGTGGTAATGGGCTGAAATAAAGTACGGCCACCCTTCGGGTGACATCGATTGGCCCGGCCGTGTCGCAGGTTCGCCGTGGTGGTGTTCGGCGGCGACGGAGTGCAGGACCAGCCGCAGGTGCTCACCGTCAATGGCCAGATCTTCTCGCGCGCCAAGAGGACCGTCCAAGCCTTCCGTCAAATCAAACCCGGTACGAACCCCACCCCACGGAGCTATGTTCCCACGCATCCTGTGGGCGTCTCACCGAGCACTTGCCACCCTGGGGTGGAGCGTGTCTGACCCGCCGCCGGCCGCTGGTGGGACCATCCCGCACCACCCCACAGCGCTGTGACAGGCCCGCTCTCGATGCGCCAGGTTCGGGCGGTCGGGACGTGTTCGGCGCCCTGCGCCGGGCGGCCATGCTGCCGTTCTCGGCCGGCGTGTCCCGCACGTTCATTCTGATGCCGTGCTCGGCTTGCGAGGCCAGCGCCATGAGCATCGACTACACCACGCTGGCCAACGCCTTCGCGGAACAGCAGATCACCCTGCACGTCATCATGGACGGAGACCTGAGCGTGTCCAAGAAGAAGGGCAAGCTGCTCGGTAAGTGTGTTGTCGCAGGGGCTGACGCTTGGGACGGTTGCTTGCTCGGTTGTTTTGGAACGAGGTCGGTGGTCGGGGAGGGGGGAGGGGGGGCGTGAATGGTCGTTGATCAGGGTGTGTTAAAGAAGTGCAGCTGTGTTACTCACTTATTGTACGATGGTATGCGTTCTTTGGTATGAGGCAATGCAATATTGTGTCCTGTTTGGAAGAAAATGAAAACGAAACAACGCACATTCATGTGCAATGTCCTCAAACAACCCTTTCAAATATGCAGTATCTTCTGACAACTCTTTCAAGTGTGCAGTATCTTTTGAAAACCCTTTCAAGTGTGCAGCATCTTCTGATGAACTGTTAAGTGTACAATGTTTTATGAGAACTCTCTCAAGTGCGGAGTGCCTTCTGAGAACCCTCTCAAGCCGCTGAGCGTCTGCATCTGACTCGGCTATCGGCTTCTGCTCTTCGCGACTCAGGCATTGACAGAAACAAGGCGTGGACGCTGAAGGACGCCAAGAAGCTGGTTGGCGATGCTGCCCTGCTGAAGCACGTCAGGACGCCGAAGGCCCAGCTCAAGCTTTGTGAGCCGCTGGCCACCAGGCAAACCCAAGGTAAGACACAGCTCGGGACGGACGCTGTCTGCCGAGTCGCAGTTCATCTCTGGAGGCTGGTAAAGCTCAGACCGACGATCGCGATGTTTATGGCAACATTTTCAGAGATTCAGACAGTGGTTTGTCTGATGTTGGTGAACCATGCACCTTGTCGGAACTGAGCTGGCGATGATGTGAAGAATGCTTGTGTGTCAATAATGATTTCATAGGATAAATTCGCTTCACATGCTCACTTATTTTGACAAGCCATTACATATCAAACAGACAAAGAGCGTAAAACACCTCACCATCCATCGAATACAAAGGCTGTTCACTTATGGCTTTGTATCATATCCAAGCCGAAGCTGTTTGCTGGTCACTGACGGCGCGATGTCGCGTCGCTGCCCCTCGAACCGCCTCGCACACCTCACGCTGTGACGAGCCGCCGACCGACGCGCCTCACCCGGCGCGTGCCCCGGCAGGCGCCATATTCTCGTCATCGAAGCTGACGCCGCACCCGCGGACGGGTCGCCTGCGCATGAGGCAGCTCAAGAAGTGGATGCTGGTGTTCGGGAAGCGCGTGGCGCTCACCGCTCGCCCGCAGTCGTGCCAGAACTGCGAGTGCGCCGCCGACGTGGAGGGCACGGCCCGGTTCGAATGCATGCCGTGCTCGTCCGTCCCGCTGCTGCCCTCCGACCTGGTCAGTGCCCTCTGAGCCTTTCAGTGCTCCTGACCCGGTCACTGACCTGGTTGTTACCCTCTGACCTGATCGCTGACCTAGTCGGTGCCCTCCGACCTGGTCAGTGCTCTCCGACCTGGTCAGTGCCCTCTGAGTCTTTCAGTGCTCTCTGACCCGGTCACTGACCTGGTCGTTACCCTCTGACCTGACAACTGACCTAGTCAGTGCCCTCTGACCTGGTCAGCGCTCTTTGCCTTAGTCAGTGCCTTCTGACCAAGTCAGTCCTCTAACCCGGTCAATGCCCACTGGCCTGGTCAGTGCCTGCTGACCTGGTCAGCGCTCTTTGCCTTTAGGTCAGGTGGACTTCTGACCAAGTCAGTCCTCTACCCGGTCAATGCCCACTGGCCTGGTCAGTGCCTGGACCAAGTCAGTCCTCTAACCCGTCAATGCCACTGGGTCAGGGCTGACCTGGTCAGCGCTCTTTGCCTTAGTCAGTGCCTTCTGACCAAGTCAGTCCTCTAACCCGGTCAATGCCTACTGACCCGGTCAGTGCCTGCTGACCTGGTCAGCGCTCTTTGCCTTAGTCAGTGCCTTCTGACCAAGTCAGTCCTCTAACCCGGTCAATGTCCACTGGCCTGGTCAGTGCCTGCTGACCTGGTCAGCGCTCTTTGCCTTAGTCAGTGCCTTCTGACCAAGTCAGTCCTCTAACCCGGTCAATGCCTACTAACCCGGTCAATGCCTACTGACCCGGTCAGTGCCATTTGACCTGGTCAGTGCACTCAGAGCCACTCGGTGGCCTTTGAGCCGGTCGGTGCCCTCTGACCCGGTCGGTTTCCTCTAACCCGGTCAGTTTCCTCTGGCCTGATCAGTGCCCACCGACCCGGTACAAACCCTTCGATGCGATCAGTATTCCTCGACTCGATCAGTGTGTTACGATCTGTATACCAGTGGATTCTTATGTATATCCCATGAACAATAGGATGATCTCAATTTGAACTCAACTTCACTTAGCGAAAACACATAAACTTTGTCAGTGCCGGTTTGCGGAGAGAATCATGGCTGCCCTGATTGCCGGGATGCAAGGGTGAGGGATGTCGAGTATTGCATCTCGCATGGAACAGGGTTAATTGGGTCACTTGCTCGAGATGGACGCCAGTTCACTTATGGCTAACTGCTACCAGTAAGACTAGATTTAGGCTAACTGCTACCGGTTAGACAAGATTTATGTTAACTGCTACAAATAGGGCTCTTCGTCGGCGCGGGACGAGCAACAAGATCCCATGTACAAGCGGTCAGTTGTTATCATGTGGATGATGTCAAAAACTAAGCAAATGAAGACTCCTCAAACACATTTGGCAACTAATGCTAACGTATTTCGCGACTGCAGTGGAGAGTAAGTATACTTTTCAGGAGAAGTTAGCGGGCGTAAGTCGGAGTCAACTGATACAGAATTTGCCACCAGCTGACAAATCATCTGGTTAAAATACTGGTCAGGCTTGATGATTTAAATCGAGGACGTCCATTAAGTCACGATGCTTAACGGTTTTGGCATTTGGTACCAAGGCGTTGAGGAAAACGCAGATGTTTTGAAGTGAACACGCATCATGTTGAACATGGCCACTCGCCTGTGCAGTCTTCATGCTTCATTCTCTATCGGCTTAGATCGCGCGAAAGCTCGTGACGGTCTGCACACATCCTCTCACGCTTTTGTCTGTGGGATTGTAGGTCTTCTCCTCCGTCAGTATAAGTTAGTCTCGTTTGGTTGCAACGCCTGATTGCTAAAATCTGAACCTGGTTTAAACCCATGTTCCTAAGTTTTTCGCCAGCTGAAAATCACGCCGCCCCCATTATATGTTATTCGAAAAAGGGAGTGAAATAGTGGTGATATTGCAACAATGCAGAAATACGCTACATGATCAAACCGCCTTTACTTAAGTGCCTTGAAAAGACTACGGAAAACTTTTTCTGGTATTTGCTGTTTGTTTTTAGTTTTTTTCGGCGTCGCTGCCAAGTCTTAGCGTTGTCATATCGTTGTTGGCAAGTCATATCGGCGCCGCTGTCAAATCATTGTCATATCGTTGCTGGCAATGATATAAGCTCGTCAAAAAGATTAATGGCCCGACTGGACCTCTACGCTACAAAATTGGGTGCAGGTATATATTGCCACATAATGTTAAAAAAGAGCATTGTACATCATTCGTCGTATTTAAGGCCGAACATATCGTAAATAATCACAAAACAGCCAGATTCATGTCCCTACCTTCAAATTTTAACAATTACGATAGCGAGCTCCCGAGCGCCCCACACACTCCACCGCCTCGACCTCGCCCCCCCCCCCCTCCCACCTCCCCAGCGCTGTTGCTGCGTTATCGTCGCGTGGTGACCACATTACTGCTTATCAAGAACCATAAAAAATGTACGGGATCAAAATAGCGGTGATAATGCAATGAAGTACGTTCCTTATCGCGTGTAGGTACGTTTATGAAACAGACAGGCCAGAATAATTCAGAACATAGCCTAAACTAGCCTAACCTAACCTGACCTAGCCTAAGCTAACCTAACCTAGCCTAACCTAACCCAACCTGACCTCCCCATCCTATCCCCCTCAACCCAGCGTCCCATCGGCGTCCATGTTCCATGCCATATATATTTACGTATTACAATGTTTTGTTTAGCCGCCATGGTCTCATTTTGCTATCCATTTCTCACCCAAAGACGCCCCTTTCGCCTATTCGCCCCTCATGTCGACTAATCTACAAACATTACGGAAGACTGCTTGGATACGCAATAAACATATTTCATTGGATTTTTGTTACCCTGGCTGGTACGTTTTTTGGTTCTTAATGCGCAGCTATGTTGTGATTGCGCATAGCAGTGGCGTCGGGGTCGCGGCCGCTCGTGTTTCCAGTGCTCTGGTGTTCGTTATCGTAGTTACTTAAGTTCCAAGGTAAGAGTTTAGATGACCTGTTTAACGTTATTTACAATATGTTCTGCCTTAAAAACGACGACTGATGTACATTCTCTTTTAACGTTAGGTAGCAATGTATACCATGACCTAAAATTGTCGGTTGGCTGACGTCAAGGTTCCGTCGGCCTGCGGCCTCGCTCGCGGCAAATCACCCAATTAGATGGCTTAAGATCGATCAGATGGCCAACGGCAATTATGCGGGATAAGATGGCAGAGAATATGGCAGAGTTCTAAAGAGAGGTCGATGCTGCTTACGGAGCGTATGAGCGGATGCGCTGGTCCGTGCCTGGTTCAGCGAGGCTTAGCGTGTTAGTTTTTACATTTGCTATATGATTTTCCGTCATGTAGACCCACTCTCTTTACGCTAGTCTGCTTTTTCATGGTCAGGCTTGACAAGCTTGTACGAATTATTTTGTGATTTATTGAAAGGGTGTGACCCACTGAAAAAATTACATGTGTTAGAAATGTGTAAAGCTGTGCCAGTCTCTTCTGGTTCACCGAAAATCTTACTTTAAGCCGGGAGTTCTCTATTTATACTATGGCGATTCCAGGGAGTTGTTGGGCATAATGAAGTATTTAATTAGCCGGCAGCACTACGCCTGAAGGCAAAGCTCAAAGGGCGGCAAGACTTCAGTTGCGCGATGTTTGTTGGGTTGAAAGTCACGCTCTGGGAAGGTTGAAAGGAAAGCTGTTGTTGAATTAAGACGTTGAAACCTTTAAAACCTAAAATTTTGGACAAAATCTTCAGTCTAACGTCCACTCCTTGTAAAAATATTCCAAGCCGTCTTCCAATTTTTAAGCGCAAGACTGGGCCATTTTTGAATTTAAGGAATCTACAACGGCCTCAAACCTCACACATATCGCGCAAAAACACTTTGACAGAGATTCACATCTGTCCATTGGAGCAGAACTAAACTTATGCTTGGCCGCCACACAAGTGATAGAGCATGTCCGGCTCAACTTGCCCTATCACTGCAAGTCAACCAGATGTAGGTGTCCTTACCGCCCTTTCCCTACTGTGAACTGAACTAGGAATGAACGTCTGACCCAGTGGCACACATCGGTGACCCGGCGTCTACCGCCGACCCGCGGTCACCGTGAGGCCGACCACGTCTCGGCCGCGTGCCACGTATCTGTCATCGGACGAGCCCGTCTTCCGGCGTCTCTGCCCCCCCCCCCCCCCCGTCCCCAGGACACCCCGCAAGCCCCACCGTTCGGCTCCGTTGCAGGAAGACGATATCTTCTACAGCGACGACGCTTAGCCTACGTCGGTCGCCCTAGCGACAGTCGCGCCACCGTGCACCGGACCCGCGGCGCTCGAGCGAGCCCGGCGCTCCAGCGCGCTCGTGTACCGGCCGGGACGGCGCCCCGCTGCCGTCAGCCGCCGCGGACCGGCCGAGGGGTCCCTCGGTGCGGGTCTCGGTGACGGAGTGCGGCCGCGCCCCCGCCAGTGACGGCGGGGAGGGAACGCCCTGCGGCCAGTGAGCTGACAGGGTTGGGCTGGCTGTCCCTTCTCGTTGAAAGGGGAGAGACCTTGCGTAAGCATAGTGGGGCGTCGTGGTGATGTCGGGGGGAGGTCACGGCGCTGGAAGGCATCTCGCCCAGTTAGCAGGAGGTGCAAATGTTCTTCGCCAGGCGCGCTAGTGCCTCATCCTCGTCAGGGAGTCCTCCGCCGGGCCCGGCACGAGCGTACGGCCCAGCTGGCTACGCCTTCCCTCTTGCCGCCTTGGTCAAAACACGGCGGCGGTGGCGCTGTTGTCGCTGTTGGTATGGTCTCGTGAATACTTGGGGTTGCTTAGTGTAATTATGGGGTCTCGTGCAGGAGCGCCCCCAGTCTACGCTGAGGGGTTCAATGCTGACGAATAAGGTTCATGGCTTTCCTCAAAAACGTCGCCGCAGAGTGTCATAAGCAACTGCTGTTATTCCTGGTTTTTAGTTAATTTGCTGCGAATCATGAAAACCCATCGGGCTCTTGTGTGGCGTGCCCCAAGTTGTTATTAGTCAGGCGCATCTTGTGCTTGCAAACAACACAGCGTTTTAGAATAGATACTGTCCTCTGTCTCATCTCATGCTGTTAACTTTTGAAAAATATATACACGCTGGGAAGTGCATTGTTTAATTGCGTGTCGAATGTCCAATAACCCAAGAAATGAGCTCGTGTTTGGTGGCCGCATCACAGAGAACAAAGACGTTCCCTGTGATATTTGTCTCACATATTCCAGATGTGCGCCTTCCTGCGTAGTTCATGGAATCCTCCATGGAGGTTGTTTATTCGTGTAACATAAACATATTTGAATTATGTTGCATTAGTTATATTCCTTTATTATTGAGGTATTTTTGAATCAGGTGAATTGCCAATGTGGATACGCCTTCATGCTTTCTCAATGAGTGCACACGCACACATCCACAATAACCGAAGTCGCTTAGTGAACATCCAAAGCAGGAACGTTATTGCCAACATTTAAACCAGGACTAAACGGGTCGCTGGCCTTTGAAAACTCCTGAATCCACATCGTACGGTTACGAAGAGGGAGGTAGCGCACTGATGTCCGGGTCTGCGGAATTCCCCACCTGACATCAGCTGTTATTTGTGCCGGGGCGGGCCTGGCGCCTGTCCACCCGTGCGTCATGTTCCGAACGCTCTGCTGAAATGCCGGCATTAGTTTCTGTAAACATCTGCTCACACTGGACTGGGTATCCTCCTAGAAGAGAACATATCTTGGCTCAAGTAAAAACTGAAGCAAGGGAACATCTATACTATAAAAACAATTCAGTACCATTCCTTTCAAAAGTAGAAAAGCTCCTGCAAAAATTTAAAGCGTAGCCGTTTCACAAATGTGAGGGGCGTTCATCATTGGTATGTGGTTTGCCTTAAAATCATGTATCCAGCGGTGTGTTCCCTGTCCGTTTTTTACGCCCAATACGGCTGTTCGATCAACTCGATTGTGACGCCAATGACATTTGCTTAAGGTCTAGCCACCATGTACTGTAGTTCTTTTATCCATAAGGGAGCGTGACTCATGTCGTCCTGCATACTGTTACAGAGGGGCAGCAACTGCAGGGTCCGTGTTAGCGTTTGGGGGTCATGCCACAACCAGGTTTCGAACCGGGACCCAACGTGGGAACCGAAGGCGCTGATCCGTGGTCCACGTGACTAGTGAATAAGTTTAACGTTACGTATAGTCCCAAGTTTGCCAAACAATTAACCTGTCTCTATGACAGTATGATTCTTCACTATCTTTGATGTTGTCTTATGTCATGCACATCACTCGTAAAGTCGTTAACTCGCAAGAGTTGCATGCATTTTCGTGGTGATTTGCTCCTATACGAAGTTTAACTTTTAGTGAGGCATTACGTGTCATCGTGAGCTAGTGTGACGTTCCCATGTCATTACTCCAATAGATATCACATAACATCGCAGTTTTCCCATCAACCCAACACATCGGCAAAGTTGACCGTGCAACGTGACTTTACCTGTGTGAACGTGACTCCTAATCATCGGCTAAGTCATGTGCATGTACACCAGGGTTACGGTGATGATGATCTCCTTGTCAAGTACTGCCCAATCTTCCACAAGTGATATGTGACATTTTAGGATGTGTGGCCAAGAGGACCCCTTCCGCCTTAAGTCATGGCATATGCATGCGCATGGTTCTTGATGCCTGTTGATCTGTATATCGACGAACGGAACACTTAAACCATTGAGCTAAGAACTAATAGCGGTCTTTGGTAAGCAAGGACTTTGAGGGTGGCTTTAAAGGTGAAAATGGGTAGAGAAAGGTTACCAACATTCGCACACGCTGCTCTAACCAACATCGATAGGCAGGGACTGAGAGCAATCGTGATGGCCAATATGGATGAAGGCGAGTGGTCCAGGTTACGTGGCTTCCGTCTGAAGATGGCGCACGGTACTTACAAACATGCATCTGACCTAGCTCCCAAATTAGCTGTTCATTAGCTGCCAAACAGTACAACAAAACACAGATCAACCACTTGTTGGACTTTCAAATAGCCGAAACTCGGCGTTATCGAACAAGGCGGTAGTTGAACAAACTAGTCGGTCACATGGCTACTTTTACCCAAATTTTCAAAATTTGGCCGATGTCAATTGCGATCTGCCTTCAATTTTTATTCGGCCCTTAGGTCAAGCCTCGACTAGAAAGTGGCAAGCATGTGTGAATCAGCACTGTCACTTTAGAACTTCTCACTTGTTTAGTCGTTACGTTACATTTACATGTGCCTTATAAAAAATATGTCAGTACATTCAACTCCGCTCGGGTACCCAACCACCCATCGAGGGTGAAAAAATATTCAACTTAACAGTTATTGTTGTGTAAATGATTACAGTAATCAGTCTCAATGTTAGCTATATGCTATGCTTATCTTGCATGCCGATGTTTCTCAAGTTCAAGTGCCGCATTGTTTTGGAAAAGAAACTCTGAAACACTACTAACATTTCCTTTAAAAATTTACAACTTGAACATTTTTATGCAAATCTTGGAAGGCAGCAAAAAACATGAACTATGACTAAAGATAACTTTTGAGCTTTCTCTTTCTTTTGGCTCAAATATATAAAGTCGGTGCAGTGACGTATGCCACGTTGTAATCCTTCCGAGAACTGTTAAACTCTTGCAAGTTGTGGCAACTATGGCTTAGCACGTACAATGAAACGGTATTGCCATGCAAGAAGAAAAGGCCCGCTTCGGCGCTTTGCACCCTCGGCACAACAGCGCGCCGCAATCCGTGTGTACCGTCGCCGATGCTCGCGTCATTGACAGTAGGCTGCAGGTGGGGTAGAAGAGCTCTGTGAGTAGCGAGCTTCTGGCGTATCAGGGTTCGTGCTGAGAATTGTACAACCAGATTAAATGCGGACGCTGTTTTTCTGTCAGAGACCACGAGCATAACCAAAGTACAGGTGCATGGGGATTAAGTCATTGCATGCCTGGGATATAAAATGGCAAGAAAGGCTTCATATTGATTAAATTGTGAAGTTCCAAAAATATTTTCGAGCTTCAACTTCACTCACGTCAGCTTTTAGTTTCACCTCTTTGCCTAGTGCCTAGTTAGTGTAGCCTAGTGCCCAGTCTAGTGTCAGCATACGCCTATGTTGGATTTACGCAGGGTTTGTTCGTGACCTTCGCACCGTTTGTGACCGTAGCGCTACTACTCACCTAAACGATTCACCACTTACACGTTAATTAAGTGTAATGCCACAGCTGACCAGAAGCAAGTGACTGGTGATTGGTCGACAACATACGCTGACACGTGAACAGCAACCGTCCGATAAAATTCGGAAAAAGTTATTAAGAACAATTTCCAGACCCTCTTTGCGTGGGAGGCAGGAGTTCGCGGTCGGTCCGAGGGTCACTATTCTCCACAACAATTTTTGTTCGAACCACATTTTCCAGCCATGAGTAGGCGACTTAGCTGATCACGGCTGACTGCATGTAGCTTTGCACATCCACCGTTGACAAGAAGCATGGTCCATTCCTCCCCAAGTCCCCGGAACTGCCCTAAGTGGCAGGAGTCTTTTAACGTCACGAGGGGCTCTGTTTTGATGGCCTCTTAAACGATTCGAGAGAATGCACCAGGTCATCCCAGGATTGACGCGAAGCCGCTTCTCAGCATACGACGGGCTTCGATATGTTTACATTTGCGCCACTACCCTACAGGCGCCGGAAAATCCAGCACGCGGTTTCATTGCGCGCTGCATACTGTAGCAGGTGCCGCTGGCGTATCGCTTTGAATTCACACCCCTTCACATTATTTCGACACTTTGAAGGGACATAATGATGTTTAGTTCAGCGGCGCTTCGACTGCAGCGAGCATTTCGTGCCCGTATCTCTCTGCAGAAACAATGCAGGTCGTCTGGGTGTTTACGAACCCCGAATTCTGTGGATCAAATTTTGATTGTGTTCCCCACTTGTGAATTCTGTACGTGCTTGGGTGCAGCTGACGACACGTACTCACAAACCCTCGCCAGCATTCAAGATAGCGACCGTCAAAACGCCCAGCAATGGTCATTAGCCTACGCCCGGCCGGTGCTCTGAGATAACCGCGCCCAGCTGGGAGAGTGAAGTTGACCTCCTCCCTGAGATCTCCATCTCCCAGATGTCGTGCGAAAGCAAGATACAGTTGTGAAGATCTCGTTAGGTCATGAAGGATGCACACCAATTTTTTACCTGATGTCAAATGTGAGGTCACCACAGGTGACGAAAGAAAGAGGACTTTCCGACAGATGCTGTTAAAACATATGTCGATGTGCCGAGACCTGTATTGAGCGCACAGAAGTTAGCGTTTAAACTGGTGGAGTTCATTGCCACCATGTTTTGTTCCCCAACAACGGTCAGATTAGGTCAAGTCACCGTTCAAAAGTGGTCCACCATTGTCATTCATGTGCGATGCTTTTTGGCTTTATTTTCCATTGTGCTTCGAACTAAATCTATTTTATTAGGCGCAGCTGTGGGACGAAAATATCCCAAACACAAAAATATCATTTTAGGCTGACCGAAAATGTCAGCTGAGGTCAGCTTAGGTCAAATTCATAGCCCATCCAACCAAAAAGTTTAAGTGTTAACCGGGTCCATGTGATCAGCCCAATGTTTTCTGCTGTTAAAACTTAGCCCTGTTAGTGCTCTTTTTTCCCCATGTTGTGCATCTATAGATACTCAAGATCACATAGCTCTTGCATACGTTATGCATAGTCTTTTCAAAGCTTAGCAATGCATATGCAGCAAACTGAGAACAGGTACGTTGGTACATAAAATTATAGGTCATCAACTTCACAAGAGCTGATGGCATAATTTAAAGATGGATACACGCGTCGCATTCGTTCATCTAGACTCCCCGCTATTGACGACAGGGTTCCTAAACCTTGGATGACCTCATATGACATTACGTGCAAAAGGCACCCATAGAGGTAGGTCATGACTTAGGCCAATTTCATGTGCCCTGTGGTCATATGAGGGGTGAGCATGAAAGTTAGTGCTCTTTTCTTCATATTCCAACACCAAAACTACATAAAATTCTACAGATTTGCATTAGTACGAAAAGTAGCAAAAGATGACCTCACTTCGGGCCATTGACCTCGCCTAGCATGTTATTTTACTGTAGCAAGTGTGAGCATGGGCACATAAGACACAAAAAGTTATGCATGGTCAAAGTTTTTTGTAGAAATTGGCCTCTTTGTTCTGACCTAGGTTACTGATCCCGCCAATGAAACTTAAAAGTTGTTCAAAGTATGAAAAAATGATAGATGACCAAGTACTGTAAATCTGGTGTTGCCGAAAACGTTCGTCTTTGAGTTGTGTTCGAAAAACTGCGCGAGGAAGTCAACTTCCCCCCCCCCCCCCCTCCCCCGGCTGGGCGCGATTTAGGCCGCATGCGCCAGGGGAAGGAAAGGCTATGCCGCCACGACCGCCTGCAGATACCATGAAATAGTTCAAAAAGGTCACGTCGTCGCTCGGTACAACACTTTCGCTCAGCACCAAACATTGACGAAACGTTCCGCCCGGGCACACTCAGCGACCAAACATGACTGCACAGGCTACACAATCTGCCGTCTCCAAATTCAAATGGTCGCTGCACATTATGGCGAAAGCTTACACGTGATCGGAACGAACATAAACATAGCACACAGTTGGCCGATGATAGATCGATTACTTCATCACAGTATCATATCGCCGGTGGTGTGATGTACCAAAAGGTCGGACATTCCGCACCGCTTATGGAACTTCGTAAAGCGAGTTTACATGCACACTCTGGATGCGCACCAAAAGCTTACAATGACCGGTATACTCTACGCCACATGTTTGCCACCAGCGTCTTAGTTTAACCGACGCGACATTCTCATTTATCTCTGCAGACTTCTGAGGGCTGGAGACTGAGAAACTGTACACAAACTGACAAAGTTTCTATTCATGTTCTTACTTGATATGATTCAAGCGGGCACAATTTTGATGAAAGCAGGCTCTTGTTATCATCCCCCCTCCCCCCCTCCCCCACATAGAAGAAGCTGCCAGCCCTAGTAGGCGTACAAAAATGCCAGACTTTGCTGTCGAAGCCTCACCCCAGCGATCCTTGTGAAAGCGACGGCTAGTTCGCACTTCAGGCTCACAGAGCCACTCCTCCCGAGCGCTGTCCTCTGATTGGTGCTCGGTCAGGTCAAGGCGAAGCTGCCCTGGCCGGAGCCGTCTGGCGCCGTGCCCGCTGGCGGCGCCGGCGGCGCTGCGTGAGGTCACGGGACGTGGGCTGCGCGCGACGTCGGCGCCCCGCCCTCGGCCGACGGAATTTTCCACCACCAGCGCATCGACCGGCCCCATCTGACGTCACTGGCAAGCGGCGGCGCTGTCTTCGGAGCGGAACCGACGCGTCTGACACCCCGCCGCCCGGCCGGCGATTCAGACCGGGGAGGGAGCCCGTCGAAGAAGGTTCGGCCAATAACACCGCATAGGTCCGACCACTGACACTGCGCCGACATGGTCATCAAGGAGACGGCGCCCAGTCTGGTGAGTGGCTGGACCTCATCAGACCACAGGGCGTCGAGAGTCTTAACTACCTGTCGCGTGGAAACGCTCAGCTATGTTAAAACTCATGAATTGCTGCTTGGTAAGACGTTTTTGTATGACCCCAAATTGTAACGTGAATGGAATATTTTGAATACTCATGCTGTCAGTGTCGCAGGTGTCACGTTCACGTCGCTATTGTTGCTTTCATTTTATCACGTGTCAGATGTTGCCACACCCATGGAGCTGCCACAGCTCGCACGTGTGGCATGCAGGTGCACACAACATTCCAAGGCAGATATCACCACCAGTTACTTTTTATCAGCATGACAATGGAACCACCTGGATTATGTCGTTTTCACCGGTCGTTACATTCATCTCCGTTTAAAGTGAGTGCTTTGAATCATTTACGATGCGTGCGTATTTGGTCCCGTGTGATTGTCACTAAAACTAGCTTGTGCACTATTCATCAAGCATTGTCGGTTGTCACACCATTCCTTCTTTCCCGGCTGTTTTTTAAGACATCGCTCAGATTATTCTCGAAACAATTACTGACATGCATAATCGCCCTGCTGAATCGCCCAAGAGATCCTGACCATTTCGGAAAGCTGTTGTTTGTCCTAGAGCGGCAATTGGACTCCCTGTGCGGTTGTCTTGGCACCGCCTCTCAGACGGTTCAATAGTCAATATCGACCACACACTCTCTCACACACCCACGCATGCACACACAGACATACCGGCTTCCGGTGTCGGCGCTGAGTTGCAGCACGCATGCGCTCTGGAAGGCGCCACGATATTGAACGGCGCTGCTGCTCTAGACGAGTGATCGGCACAATATGTTGGATCGAAGAACCAATGCTGAATCCGTGTTACTGAGGAAGACACTCGCCGAGCGAGACTTGTTTTTCAATACCAAGAAAGGTGCGATAGTGGGTGGTCCCTTGCGACCAGCCGCCACCCTGTTCTTGAAGTTGTATTGTATAACTTCAAGGCAGAAGCGTGCGAGCTTGTTAAATTAGGCGTCATGATTCCGCAGCGTAGCAATGTGGACAACACATAGGTGCTCTGTTGGATTAGCCTGGAAATGCATGATGAGTGAATCGCTACAAAAATACGAAAAGCTGATCAAAAGCGGACCAGGGTGAGATGACTCGCGTGGAGGCGACGCGAAAGCAGGGCTCGTTGACGGACTTGGAAGTTTGCAGCCCTTCTGGCCAAAGGGCGGGCCGCAGTGCGCAGACAGTCATGAGCGGTTGCGTGTGTTAACCATGGGTCCACGCGTGTTGGGCCGTGTTTAGAGATGGGTGTCATATATGTGCAACCGGGGCAGAGAGCGGATGAAGACGTGAACTGAAGCGTATGGTATCGTAGGGAAAATATCTTACATCATTTTGGCCTATCCATAACGACGTCAGAAATCGACCGGAACGCCGGATATGTCCCTTTTTCTGAACTAATTTCGCATGCTCTTTGCTGTCGCCTGACTCAAAGACAGATCGCGTCTTGACAATGGTTTAAATGTTAAGCGTAATTTACTGTCATCAATATAGGCGCGAAGTGCTGGTATTTACGTGAATGCTCTGGTCACAGCCAACGCCAGACCTACAGCCATCTTATTCTCTTGTGGCGTGACTTGTGATTGAGCGCGGACACTATATGCTGGACCTCTTCCTGCTTTTCTCTCATGCATGGCATTGTTATGTATTGGTTAGATCCACGTGTAGATCCATCAGAGGCAGTTGTGCAGCCATCCAAAACAAAGGACGTTGAAAGGAGGTTCAAAATATTTGAGGACTTCAAACATAAGTGTTTTATCGCTAGGCATGGGGTCACGCAGGGTCAGCGTTTGTTACAACAATTTAAGTGTTCTTATTTGGATCTAACCTTAAAATTTCTTTATTTTCAAATTCGGCCTTCTTCAACTTTGTATTCGTTCACCGAACATATCTGGGGCGTCCCATGGTCCTTTAAATCCCCCAAACAGCTGAACTACGCCGCCTCAAAGAAACATAGGAATCAGAAAAGGCTTCTCACCCCACCTAGGTGATGATATTTAGACTTGGTTTCGTGACCCAGTTTTTCAGCATGGTTTAGCGGCATTTGAAGATGAAGATCTAAACTCCGACTCCGGGCAGCGCGGTGTACCTTTCAGTCGACATGGCGTGACCCCTGGCATATGGACATCCTGCTCAGTTGCGAAATTTCGATGGAGTTGGTTGCAGGAATAACAGTTCAGGAAACCACCTGTGTCACGGACTTAGAGAAATCGCATATGGTAATATATTTTACGCTGAGGTGGCCATACTAGACTAGCGAATTTAGTGTGCACATAATCTGTCAAGCAACAAATATGTTTTGCTGCCTACCCGTCCGCTTGAGTTGATAGCCGATGTCTTGGATGACTCAACTACAAGTCTGACTCTTAAGAAAGAATCGGATAAATCAATTTCATTCTGCTCCCAACGAAAATTGACTGATTCCGACCCAGCCTGCAGCCAAGTACAGGTCTGGGAGGCACCTTGCATTCCAACCGTTTTCCCATGAGACAAGGAAAGTGTCCCTGGGAAGACCGTCACTCGGGTGGCATGGTCATATCGCATCACTTGTCTCATTTGCAGGCGAGGCAACTCCTGCCAGACCGCAGCCTGGAGCTCAGCTGCATCAGGAGTGAGGAGCAGGATGCTAACTCCTGCTGCTCCGAAGACTCTGGATCTTCCAACTCAGGGAGTGATGAGAAAATTGTCCGTGGCAATTGGACCGGCAAACTTGACTTCTTCCTCAGCTGCGTGGGATACGCCGTGGGACTTGGAAACATTTGGAGGTGTGTGAATGCTCCAACGATGTATCTATACTAGAGCCCTGTTCGCGCAGGTCATCAGGCTGCCCCTTAAATATTACGCAAAATTAAATATTAATATATTATATTAAATATTAGGTTAAATATTAAGCAAAAGAGATTCTCTTTCTTGTCTTGGCAACCCTTCTGGGCTGTACGTAGTGCAACGGGACGACTATGTGGAGAATTCGGAGATATGGAACGATGGTAACGACAGAGGGAAATTCGTGGTTGCTTCGTTTGACCACGACCTTAACAAATGTTGAAGGACTCTCGGCGTTGTCCTGATGTGATGACATTGGGAGGGCGGAGGCGACATCCGTCTGAAGAAGCGTGCGACTGCAACCACTTTTCGTTGCAGATTTCCGTACCTGTGCTATCGGTCCGGAGGAGGTGCCTTCCTGATCCCCTACTTCACGTTTCTCCTGTTGTGCGGCATGCCGCTGTTCATGATGGAGCTGGCTTTCGGCCAGTTCGCCAACCAGGGTCCCATCAGCGTCTGGCGCATCAGCCCCATCTTCAAAGGTCAGTGTGGGGGGGGGGGGGAGGGGGCTTGCGTGTGCCGGTGCGCAGACTGGCACATCGGCGGCAATCTATAGCTGTTCACCTGAAGCACATCTCCAGATCGTCAGTATTGCTTCCTTGTGTCATGGCGAATGCCGGTAGGTCTGGCCACGTGCCTTTTCTGCTGTGTGTAGATCGAACTTAGCTCTGTGGGAGTGGTAAGTCACGTTGTCTTACTGCAGAAATGGCTGTGTGTAGACCGCATTCATCTCTGTGGGAGAGGTAAGTCGTGTCATACAAGACTAGTCATGTACATACTACATCCAGACGAGACCGTGTCTCCAGCCCGGGGCGGGAATGGAGGGCGGCCTGTCGCTTCACGGGAGATGCAACCCCCACTTCGAAGCCATCACACCAAGGAGCAGCTACTGATCACGACGTTGGGGAAGAGCAAGTTACTGGAGCACTCTGGCTGGGACTGGATCGTACTTGCCCTGGGCGCTAGTCAGAAGCAGCTGTAGACGTGCGACGGGCCGGACACGGGGCCGGCACCAGCTCACGCCACCCGGTGAGGGGAGGGAGGGGGGGGGGGGGGCAGTCCGGCTGAAGCCGGCTCGCAGACACCGGTCGATCGATGCCACCGCTGACATCAGCTGACTGCTGGCCAGCTGACGTTGGTGGCGGCGGCGGCCATTTTGGCCGGACTCGGGTGACGCTGGCAGGGCGGGCGGTGGCCGACGGCGACTGCGGCAGCGGCGGCGGTGGCGGTGGCCGTTATAGCGCTGACTACGTCAGCAATCCTGACGGGCTGGGAGCCAAAATGATCGGGCGCGGCATAGCTGAAAGGCGGAACCCAGATGATTGAGGGGTGCCGCCGCGGTAGAGGTACATGGGTGCCAGGTAACTGAGGGACGGATCTGGATTGACTGAGGAGCGCCACCAGGGCAGAGGGACAGCCGGGTGCTGGGTGACCGAGAGACGGACACCGGATGACTGAGGGCTGCCACCAGAGCAGAGGGACAGACGGACGGGGGGGGGGGGGAAGAGGGGAAATGAAGGACTGCTGCCAGGGCGTATGCACCGGTGATAAGCGAGAGGATGACAGTCGTTTGCAGTGACACTGAACACCTTCTGCGCGTGTCTGTACCCTCCGAATACAGTCCCTGCGTGCGGTACTTATGCATACTGTGCACGCCAGGGGGCTTGACGAAATGAGGGGGCTTGACGAAATACCAGTTAAACTGATGGAGAGAAAGTTCCGAAACGCGAATAAGCAGGGTACCATTCCTGTTTTCCATCATCGTCGATGTTTCGCCTTAACTCGTATTGTGTTGTTTTAAAAACGCGTCGCGCACGGTCGGCGTTTGTCCGTTATGTGTGTCCTATTACCGGCCGGCCAGTAATAGAACAATGAATGCTGAAGACAAAAAAGCAACTGTTGCATGAGGTGGGTCGATACTGTGGATGCTAGGAGTCAAATAAGTTACCAATCGGAGCTAGCGCCTCAGTCGACCAGCAGGTGCGGGGCTGAAACATCGCGCCCCTCGTAAGCTTACACTTGTATCTGAGCTGGCGTGCGACCGGGCGTGCTGTGACCCCATTGTTTTCTCCGACGCCAGGCTTGGGCTACGGCATGGTGCTCATTTCGGGCATCGTCTGCATCTACTACAACGTGATCATCACCTGGACGCTGTACTACATGTACCTGACGTTCCGCTCCGTCCTGCCGTGGTCCACCTGCGGCAACTGGTGGAACACGGACAACTGCGTGACGCGCCACATCAACAACACCGGCAACGGCACGTTTAACGCCTCGCTGCACCCGGAGCGCACCACGGCTAGCGAGGAATTCTGGAGGTGGGCGGCTAGAGTGAGCGGCGCTGGCCGCTGGCACGCGCGCCCGCTGCGCCATTGCGGCTTTGCTGTTTCGTTGGCTGGCAGGCGCGTCTGTTGTTCTGCATATCAAAGTAGCTTAACCTCAGCAGGCCATATTTCGGGCGGTGATATGGAATTGATGTTTGCCGAAACGACAGCTGTTTACGAGAACGTGGTGCAGTGAGTTGCGCAATTCAAAAAGCCAGAACCATGTTTTGGGGGTTGTTTTTGTGCTTGGTGGTACATATTTCTCGCCGATTTGTCGAAGCTACACATATAATAAGTTACTGACGCGAACTGTTTGCCAGGGGGTACGTCCTTCAGATATCAGACGGTATCGATGACATCGGACAAGTGCGGACTGAGTTAATCATCACTCTGTTCGTCGCCTGGATTATCATCTTCTGCTGCCTCTTCAAGGGCGTCGAGTCGTCTGGCAAGGTCAGTGGCGCAGGAGGAAGCCCCGCAGCTATGGTGACGGAGAGCGGGCGTGCCGACCCCCAGCGGCCGTCGCCCTGATTCCATTACGGCGCTGGGGGGCGCGGGTCCCCACGGCATCGGCGCGCGGCCGCCGAGCCAGACGAGGCCCACTCCCTGTGACCTCAGTGCCTCCGGGACCGCTGCATTGTCACCAGACACGGCCATAGCCGCCCTCGTCGTCCCGGGGAACAATGCGATGGATTGCGGTCGGCCTGCCGCTGCTGGCGCGGTGTTCAGCGCCGGAATAACGGCGTCAGCAGATGGACGGCAGCGGCAGACGGGCGTCGACGCTGTTGTCCAGCGCGAGGGCTGATCAATTTATCGGTGGCACAGCTCGACGCCGCCCGCTCGGAATAACACCGCAGTGAGCCCACCTCACCAGCGCGGTTCCTCCCCCCCCCCCCCCCCCCACTGTCACCATGCGCGCCGATCACGCGTACAGGCGCAATGCTGTGGGGATCTAAACCAAGGTCGTTTTGGGGCTGCTTAAATTATGTCCAGCTATGCGAACCGTAACTATTTCTGGCTAAGTTACGTTGATGCAGGTTAAATGCGAATGGCAAGAACTATTTTAAATGTTCTTCGGAGATGCTCATCCGCGGACCAGGAAACAGAACACAGGAAACAGAAACCATCATTTTTTGTTCTTGATAATGAAAGGGTGCGGTACTTGCCTGTTGTGGCTCTGTCCGCCGTTTGTTTTTGGTACTGAGAAAGGCGAAACGTTTTGACATTCTCAAGTGTCCAGTGTGGGTTCTTGCTCATTCTATAAATGCTGAATGCGAATAGCTTTTTCTTAAATTGTTGAGCTTTTAGCTTGGAATGGGGCGCTCAAACGTAACGTAATGGATTAAGAACGCACTTTCCCTAAATAAATGCATGCTTATTTTTCGTTTCGTTTTGTTTTATTTTAAAGACGGTATCACGGAAATGAATAAGTCATGAGGTGAGACCGTTTCCAACGAAAGTTACTGAAATGTGAAAAGCAGAATACCTGAGTCTTGGAATCTGAAACGCTGCGGGTGGAGCTTTCCGAGCTTTGGGTCGTTTATGATATCTCAATACCTGGTAGTGGATTGTCAGTTCTAGAACACAGCAGAATCTTCACGGTGGTGCATGCGTTGATCGCTTCCACCAGCTTGTTCGTGACTCGGGATTGTGCGACTCGTGGCTCGCTATCTTCTCACTTTACTCGGGAAATGCTTTGACGTGTAATTATGCGTCATTTCAAAATGGCGCCCGGGAGGACGCCCACTGATCATGCGCTCGCCCCCCGCAGGTGGTGTACTTCTCAGCCACGTTCCCCTACCTGGTGCTGCTCATCCTCATGGTGCGGGGCGTTACTCTGCCGGGCGCCATGAACGGCATCAAGTTCTACCTCTCGCCCAAGTGGGAGCTGCTGAAAACGTTCAAGGTAACGCGAATCGGCAGCTGCCGGCACGTGACAGGAGGGGGGGGCCCGTTGTTTGCGAAAGCGGGCCGGTATGTCTGGGTGAAGTGACGCAGCAGCGAGGGGGGGCGGCGCCAAAAGGTTCTACAAACAGCAGTGACGTTTCGCTGAGCTGTCGGCACTGACTTGGGACTGAATTGGGTTGGCAGGGGTTGGCCGTGTGACTCAGCTGCTCCTCGTTGACTGCTTCGCTGGCTGGTTCCCAGGGCTTTCCTGCTGTAAGGCTGTTTGTCCGTGTGTATGTGTGTTGTGTGTGACCTTGTACCGCCGCCAACTACGCACGTAAACACTTCTGAGAGGTGGAATTGACCTTGGGCCTCTTCTGTGGTACGATGTGTTACGCTGCGGCGCTTTTTAAGTGCGCAGTTTTCCCTTCCCCGAGCGCAGCTTGTGTAAGGACTCTAAGGTTGGCGACTCAGCCACTGCAATGTCCCAGTATTCTTGATATGATCGTGAAACCGTTGGTCAAATGCGGCGTGCGGCGTGAAGTACATGCCCGTAGCCTTTAAAAGAGTGTGCCAAACGCTACCCGGGATTGACTATATCTAAAGCGCCCCACACCTGAAGCGCTGCCCGGGATTGGCTACATCTAAAGCGCTCCCACACCTGAAGCGCTTTCCGGGATTGGCTACATCCAAGCGTCCCACACCTGAAACGCTGCCTGGGATAGGCTTCATCTAAAGCGTCGCTACACCTGTGCTCGGCAGGTCTGGGGAGACGCCGCCACCCAGATCTTCTACTCTGTGGGACCTGCCTGGGGCGGCATCTTGACCATGGCCTCGTACAACCGGTTCCGCCACAACTGCTACCGGGACGCGCTGATCGTGCCGCTCATCAACTGCGGCACGTCTGTGTTCGCCGGCCTGGTCGTGTTCGCCATCATCGGATTCATGGCACAGGAGACTGGCCGAGACATCGAGGACGTCGTATCCCAGGGTGAGCACCGCACGTGCGACCTGGGGGCTGTCCTCCGGGGGCCGCCCCACCTGCGGGTCGGCCGTGCTCGGCGGTCAGGGCCGTGCCTGCAGCCCAGAACACAGCCCACAGCACACAGCCCACAGCACACAATCCACAGCACACAATCCACAGCATACAGCACACAGCACACAGCACACAGCACACAGCACGCAGCTCACAATCCACAGCACACAATCCACAGCATACAGCACACAGCACACAGCACACAGCACACAGCACACAATCCACAGCACACAGCACACAGTCCACAGCCCACAGCACACAGCCCAAAACACACAATCCACAGCACACAGCCCACAGCCCACAACTCAGGCGATGGGGAAACATGCCAGACGTACCCTTAGTAAATAGCCCCAAAATGGGATCGTAATGAATCTGATGCGTTTGGATGAAACTGGTCCAGGAAAGAAATATAGGTGAAACAGACATGTGCTACTGGATAAAACCGGTATAGGAGTGTATTACATGTCTGTTTCAGGTAGAAGAGAGGTATGTTACTGGATGAAAGCGGTCAAGGAGCGAATGCATCAGTCGAATCAGACATATCTAAACTTGCTGAAATCGGCCCAGGGCAAAATTTCAGCTGAAACATATATGTGTACGTGATCAGCCACTTCTCGTCGACCTGTTATAGCTTTTTATCAGAGTACGCTCGCGTAATTGCCGTCCCCCGCACTGACGTGGGTCGGAAGCCTTACCCGACCTCGCCAACGCCGTCGACGGTCGCATATAGACGACGGTGCTGGCGTTTGACCTTGGCGGCAGCGGGGCGCTTTTTGGCGCGCCATCGCGTCTGTGCCGTCTGGGCGGTGGCGCGCACCTCCAGTGCCGTCTGGCGCGGCGACGTGTAACTCGTTTGTTGCGGGACCGCGGCGGCAGCGGCGCCGGGTGGGCACGCTGCCAGCGGTCGCCGTCTGGCGTCTCCCCGGCCGGCGGGGCTCCCCCAGCCCCTCCCCTGGCGTCGGCGGCGCTGGCACGGCTGCGGCGTTCTGACATCACGGTGTTGGGTGTTACCGACGCGACGGTGCGGGCTCCCTCTTACGTCGCAGCCCAGACTGCCGCTTACGTCACAGCTCAGAGCGACGCTTACGTCGTAGCCCAGACTGCCGCTTATGTCACAGCTAAGACCGCCGCTACGTCGCAGCCCAGACTGCCGCTCATGTCGCAGCCCAGACTGCCGCTCATATTGCAGCCCAGATTGCCTCTGACGGCCCAGCACGGACTGTGACTGAGGTCAAGAGAGAGACAGCCACTGACGCTACCTCACAGCCACGCAGCACACTGACGTCACTGACGTCACAGCATTAATTCACATTAACGTCTCAGCGCGGACAGATACTGATGTTGCAATACAAACTTGACATAAGTATCCCAGCACAACCTGTCACTGTTGCCAAGTCCAACCGCTGCTGGCATCACAGCTCCGGCTGTCTCAGACACAGCGGTGGAAACTGGCACTGATGTCACCGCGCGAGCCGTGGTGGGCTGATGTCACAGCGCGGAATAACACCCACGCGAGGCCGCAACGCAGACTGACACAGACATCACGGCACTGCTCGTGAATACACGGCCGAGGGAGCGGGTCAGTCCCGAGGTCGTGCTCGTGTTGCCAGCGGACCTCTGATGCCGAAACCGCCGCCATAGATATTCGATCAGGTGTAATGAAGGCACATGACTGGCGGTATTAACATTGCGAGTGGTTAAGTCCCCATGAATATTATTTTTCAAGACATATTGCGAAGTCGAGGGATGTTCCAATAATGGGAAATCAAAGCCGAATATTGATTAGACGGGACGCACTTGTGCTGTTTTTCGGGGGGGGGGGGGGGGTATATCGCTGGTCGGAATGAACGGACACCAGTCAATAACGATTTCAATGCCGTACTTGGCCGTAAAGCCGTTGCTTATCAGTATGCTGCACGGTGATCGATGTCGCGAGCTCTTATGTTGGGACGCAGAGGCATGTTGGGCTTGAGGCCTACTTCTCGGGTTTTGTACGTTGTTTAGGACATTCCTTTGTGGGTGGTGGAATCACAAGATTTTGTTGCCACACCACCCTTCACATCACACTGGCTTCCGGTCATGTGATAATTTATGTTAATTATTCTTACCCTGTCTGAGCTACCCGAGGGAATTTCTATGCCAAAATGGCTCGTGGTCGCAGCTTTCCCCAAAAGGTTCTCTGTCAGTTGAAAAGGTCAAATGTCCTTCACACTCGCAGTTGTGTGGTAGCCTTTTGTTCATTTAAGAAAATTTCGGGTTTGCGGCGAGCCTGCCAGATATTGCCGATATAATCTTGTTGAACATGCTGCACGTGACGAGCATGACGAACGCACTCAGTGGACGAGGCTCACGCAGACCGAGGAGAGTCGCCGTCAGCTGACCTCGGACAAGAACCGAGCGGGCAAGGGAGTGCACCCGGCGGTCGGCTGGGATTCCGATGGCCGTATTTTTAGCGGCGGCGCCGGGACTGGGCGCCTGCCAGCTGAGCCCGATTTGGCAGCCAATACAGCTGCAGTGGACAGCTCGGGTGACGCCGCTCGATCGGAGATCCACGTCAGGCAGGAGTGCGCGAGCTCGGCTGATCACGCGGCCACCGTGGTATCGGAGATCCGCGTCAGGCAGGGGTGCGCGAGCTCGGTTGATCACGGTATCACTGCGCTATCAGAGATCCACGTCAGGCGTGAGTGCGCGAGATCGGTTGATCACGCGGCCACTGCGCTATCAGAGATCCACGCCAGGCAGGAGTGCGCGAGCTGTGCTGATCACTCGGCTATCGTTCTATCAGAGGTCCACGTCAGGCAGGAGAGCTCAAGCTCGGTTGATCACCGGCGCCACTCGATCGGAGTTCACGTCAGGCAGGAGTGCGCGAGCTCTGCTGATCACGCGGCCACCGTTCTATCAGAGATCCACGTCAGGCAGGAGAGCTCAAGCTCGGCTGATCACGCGGCCACCGTTCTATCAGAGATCCACGTCAGGCGGGAGAGCGCAAGCTCGGTTGATCACGCGGCCGCCGTTCTACCAGAGATCCACGTCGGGCGGGAGAGCTCAAGCTCGGTTGGTCACCGCTCTGTCGAAGGTCCACGCCGTGCAAGGGAGCACAAAATCGGCTGATCGCGGGGGTCGGCCGTCACGCAACAGGGCTATGAGGTGTTACGGCCTGCACGGTATTGGTTGGGTCCGAGTATGACCACGCGGTCTGCGGTATCTGGGCGGAAAAGCTAGGGTTGTATGTTATCAGCAAGCGTGCAAAACTCTGCAGTGAGGCCTCATATCGACATAAATTCCTGTCTCTGTGGATGGAAACAAGCCAAACTTCTCCCTGCTTTACAAATTGTGGAAGAAACGGAGCGTGTGCGTTGTCTAACATGCCAGCATGTGGTTGTTTTACCGTTTTGCTTCGCCGCCTACTCGTCCAGGTAGCCGGGTGGAACCGGTCTGACCGGATGCCGACGTCGCTGTCGCCAGGTCCGGGGCTGGCGTTCATCGTGTACCCGGAGGCGGTGGCGCGCCTGCCGATCTCGCCGCTCTGGGCGTTCCTGTTCTTCTCGATGCTGTTCACAATCGGGATCGACTCCCAGGTGAGTACTGTGTTCCGCGCCGACCGCATCCCCGCCGCTTCCTCGCTGGACCTGGCAGGTGGCAGCCCATCGCAAGAGCGGGCCGCCGTCCTTCCCCTGGGCCCCGCCGGCGGCCTTCGACGCGCTGCAGCGCGCGCGCGCGCCCCCTCCGAGTCAGTCTGTGGTCAGGACTCAGCGGTGTCTGTCCACGGGCCCGGCCGGCGCAGCATCTCGAGTCTTCTCCAGCCGCGGCGGCGAGCGTGGCGCGCCGCCGCCAGTCGCCGGCGCGCCAGCGACGCCTCACGCCGCGCCTGACGTGCTCGCCGGCGCCGGCCACGCGCGCCACGCTCGCCGCCCGGTCCCAAGGTGCGTGTGTTAGCGCCACGGTAGCCGCACGGACGCCGTCCTCCTCACTGCGCCACGCCCCCGTGGCGCGCCAGCGCGGCGGTGGCGCCAGCGGTGCGGGCGGGCGGCATCTGACGCGGCTCAGAGATTTCCCTCTATTGACGCCGGTTCGAGTCTGTTGCCACCCTGTGAACGCCGCGCCGGACCCGTGGACCGACGTCGAGTGGCGGCCGTCGCCGCGCCGGCTCTGCCACCTGCCGGTCGATCCCGCAACCTTGTTCCTGCCCTCTCCGGTCTGTCGTCGGGAGCAGATGCCGAGGAGCAGAACGCTCCGACCAAAATAAGCCCGGCTTACGCCGCAACCAAAGTCTGAGTAGGGTATACGCAACAAGAGTTTCAACCCAGCCTTTCATTTGCCGGGCGGTTAGATCTAGCTGCAACACTTCGTGCCCTAAAATTTATTAAACTTCGGTAAAATGAAGATTACGAGCGAAATGGAACCACCAAGCTTGCAAGTGTAAATACATACTCCAGCTAGTAGAAGTACACTGTCACGCCCTTTCAACCATGCTGCTATTTCAAACGTTAAAGCAAGCGTGTAAATCCTGGGGTCACCGCAATATTGGTAATGTCTAAAGTATTGCATTTTGCTGAGCATTTTTTAAATACATAACATGGGGAATTTTTGGGTTTGGCAGGTTGAGATTTATTTTTGGGAGCGTAGTTGGTTAAGCGCATGAGTCCAAGCCGGTGCAAAAAGCACTGTTCAGCTTTTGCTGTATTTGCCAAAATTCCCAGCGAAAATATCTTCAAGAGGAGCGTCTGCATTGATGATGACGTACTTCTATAGCCCGATGTATCGTTTGCACTAACATGGTTGGTCGGTTGGTTGGTTGGTTGGTTGGTTGGCTGGTATTGACTGGTACTACTGGACCTGGATCAGCGATTCACCGTCTCACTTATTTTTCAGGTGGGCTCTTCGCCACCTTTTTGTTTTATGTGATTTGTTTACATGAGCGTGTGTTGTGTGTGTAAATAAAGACTACTAATATTATCGCGCGTGCCGGCTGAACAAATGCGAAACGCGTTAGTGTAGCATCGCTTTGACGCAGTTCTTAACTAAGAGTCGCGAGAACCGACTAAGCAATGTGTACGATGAAGAACAGGTGTTCAGACGCCAATTGCACACATGTATCTTGATTTCCCTCGAGGAAAATCCCTTATAGGATCATGTCATTGCGCACTGTACTTTCTCTTCGAGGAGCGATAGCGTTGTTCTTTTGCGACGTGCTGATCTGCTGAATAGGAGCGTGCGATGCTTTGCGGAATCGTGTTCGTTGCTGTTCTGTGAGCTGGGCCAAAATTGGACGGCGTCAGCGCGACCAGTCTGCTTACTATGCCCGCGGCTTCGCATAGCGCGGCACCGTCAGAGGCCGTGGTGGTGAGTCAGTACGGCGACACGCTGGGATTGCGGTGTCGGTTCGACCAGCCGTTGTCGCGCGGACCACACTGAGCGGCAGCACGAGACTGTGAGCGAGGTTTTCAGCCGGGCGTGTAGGTGGCGCTGCGGTCGGTCGTCTGCGGAGCGCCGGCCCAGCTTGGACCGTCCCCTAGCTCTGTCCCTCCCCCGTCCACCTCTTAAAGACAGAAAGGCGCATCTCCTCCAGAGTGCATTGGCCGCGCGCGTTAGCGGCGCTCAGGGCAGTCCGGGGGTCCCCGCCCTCGGTCGGCAGGGGGGGGGGGCTGAGAAGTCGGGGCCCGTCCCTCTTTCGAGAAGGGTGGCGAGGTGTGGCGGTCCGTCCTGGGTCGAGATCGCTCCCAGACGACCGGCCGGTCGTCGACGGGGCCTACCCACCGGACGGACCGCCGGCCGGGGGCCAAGCTGCCAAGTCAGAGGTGCTGTATCTTTGTCCAGCCAGGTTCGCCGCCAGGTGGAGGGCGCCGCGCTGAAGGCCAGCCAACAGCGGTCGCACAGGACAGCCCATCATAGGTCTAGTTAATCGTTCCCCTCGTTTGCGCATATGCGGCTCACGTTCATCACTCATTGGCGCGCACAGCCATCACCGCATGTGTGTGCGCGAGATTAGTGTCTGAGTGGCATCAGGCGGAGTAGGAAGAGTGTTTTGGACGAGAGTGAACCGCAGGCCGAGGTTTGTCTGATTAGAATCGCACGTTTATAGGCGATAGTTTTCTTTGCTGCTCAGCATTTGAGAACCTTTGCTACGGCGGTGTCTCCAACACAAAACATTCGATCTTCTCGCGCCATATCATACCATGCTGAGGTTTTCTGCTGTCGCGTCATAACGATTCATGTTTCGCCGTTTACAGCCGGCTTGATAATACCGCTGAATGGGCGATTCACAGCAGCGCAGTGCCAGTCAGCCTCCGGTTTTGCATTCGAGTCACGATCCTGGCAGAAATGGAGGGAACATTAATACTTAGGTAGTGGGAATTATTAACGGGTAATCTACCAAACCGGAGTGCTTCACCTCGGCAATACGTGATGCGCTGCTGATTGTTACTATTGATAGCTTTTGAAACATATTGTTAACACAAATATGTACAGCAGAAACCCTTGGTTTTCACTGAATGACGGTCCGTGATGTATCATCGTGGTGGGAAATGTCTCTGGCCTTTCTACCCAAAGACATATGGACGGCCGCTTCTTTCCATTTGTTTTGATTTTTTGGAGGCTGCCCTATTGCAGTGTTGAAAAAACAATCAAATAGTGTGAAGTCCTTTGCTCTTAAGAACAGAAAGTATTTTCATTGACTTGCTTGCCCTTTCAGTTCCTAAAGTTGCGAGAATCACGATGTGGTCTTTCACGATCACAATGCTTGAGGGAGTAAACTTAGTTCATTTAGCGTAGTGATCTTCTTGAGTAAACCTTGCCGGCCCGTAATTGGGCATAGCCAGACTCCTGAACGGACGCAGTGAACCGGTGCGCTTCTTTGTCAGACGTCTGACTGTACGCCTGTGCCCTCAGTTCGGCATGTTCGAATGCCTGATATCAGCCTTTGTAGACGAGTTCCCGGTGCTGAGGCCCAAGAAGATCCTCTTCACGGCCGGCATGTGCTTCGTGCTCTTCCTGCTCGGCATCCCCTGCGTGACAAACGTGAGTACAGGCCGCTCCATGTGCGAAGCGTGTGCTTCATTCTCACAAGTGGAATTAATTGGACATTCCAAACAGGCTCATAGGAAAACAAATGGGAGGGGGCACTTGGGGTCTTGGTGAATATGAAACAACCGGAAGGCTGTCGTTTTGACTTAAGTTTTAACGATGGGACTAAATTACTTTCATTATTTAAAGTACAGCTGTCGTGCGTTTGCCCTCTAGAGTGTCCATGCTAATGCTAAATCATTACAACGTAGGAAGCTAACTTCTTGCCGGACAAAAGATAAGCAATGAAACGGAAAGAATGCGCCCCAAGTTTCTTCATTGATATCTGTAAGGGGATTTTCGGTAAACTGAATCCCTTCGAAAACAGGTGACGACGCTTTTTGTCTTTCACACCCCACGCCTGGTAGGTCTCACTGCAGGTAGTCTTGCTCGGGAAGTAAATGTACTTCATACCGGCGCTGGCGAAGGTGGGATGACCAACTTTGTTGTGCGTCGGTGGCGCCGAGTCGGCTTCCGCCCCCTGTGTGGGATGGCTGTCAGCCACCCTCAACCTCACACGACCGTGCCATCTTCCGCTCCGCAGGGTGGCGTGTACGTGCTGCAGCTGATGGACTGGTACTCGGCCGCGTTTTCCCTCATGATCGTATCGCTGCTGGAGTGTATCGTCATCGCCTGGGTGTATGGTGCGTGTACACAACTCCCCCCTCTCGTCTTGGGTGTACAGTTGAAATGACTGTATCCTGCGATGTATCTTGACCCGAATGTCAGCTCGTATTTTGTTACGCATTTGCGACCAACAAAGGCCAGGTCGCCCGTTAGCAGTATGCTCGTTTAACGTCTGCACATCCTGAGGCACTTCTGTTGGTGTTGGCGCACTTCTGTAGATCGTTGGTGCTGGACAGGTGTCACGCCTTTCCCTGTTACAATGACCGCGGGAGGGTGTGACGAAATTGACCACAGCACTTAATGTCGCAGAAACGTTGAACAAACTGTCGGAAAAATAGATACACAGCTTCATTCCGTAATGTAAATGCAGTGTGTGATGTATGAGTATGTTGTTGGACGCTGCGTCGGGCTGAACGGTCGTTTGGCGCTCGCGTCTGAGTCGGCCGAGCGTGCTGCCAGGCCTGCTCGGCGCCGCACTGGCGTGCTAAGGACGAGGGGATGGCACATTTTCAGGCGAGGAGCGGTTCTCGCTCGACATTGAGATGATGGTCGGCCGCAAGCCGAACATCTGGTTCAGGCTCTGCTGGAAGTACATCTCGCCGGCCGTCATCTGCTTCATCCTGCTGTTCACCTTCATAAACCACGAGCCCGTGACCTACAACGACACCGGGTACCCCGACTGGGCCATCGTCATCGGCTGGCTCATGGCCCTCGTCTCCATCGCCGCCATACCCGCCGTCGGCTTGATGGTGCTGCTCGGGAAGAAGGGCACCTTTGTGGAGGTGAGCTCCGCCGGTGGGACGACACTCTAGTAGTCGGTGACAGTGGCGCAGTCAAAGGGAAGGGCTCATGGGCCCTACACTCGTCAGGTTCGAGCTCAGGCTTCCACCACGGCATCACTGAATATAATGTGGGAATCTGGTGATTAGGCAAGCTATTTGGGTTTTAAATCTCACGGACACTACCATGGGCACCAATATGTAGAGCCCAACGGCCGAAATGTAGTAACAAGACCGAGCGAATATGTACAGCAAGCAGGTGAAGTGGTTATTTAAAACACCATGACAAACGAACATCGGCACTGCATTGATATGCTAGATGAATAAACCTAGGTAAAAGCGTCTGTGGGTCAGTTGGACTGTTCGCAGTGTATACTCCGTGAAGGGAGCTGGGACTCGCTCTTAAAAAAAATTGTCCCGCCCATCAAAAATAATGGTAACCAAATTCCCCCCCCCTTCGCAAAGTTCTGCTGCTCCCCTGCTCAGCCACGAGCGGGATACACGGATTATTGTAATGATAATAATACAGGGTATAATATAACGTAATATATTACATGTGTGTTTAGTGAGCCCGTGTTGGGCCGACATTCTTGCATTTATGAACCCATACATGTAAGTATGTGCTTAAAACATATAAAACCGCACACCGTCGCCCCAAGCATAACCATACATCATTGCACGAAACACTAAGCAGGAGTGCACACTTGTACTCCCACTTAATCTGTGGGAGATGCATTTGGGCATGATGAGGCGGGGAGAGTGTGGTGCGCACAACTGTTGAACCCCTGAGCGGTAAGAACACATAATTTTAGCAACGTGATGGAATCGGCGTATGGATGTTGAGATGAGATTTAGAACCGCTTGTAGACGACGATGTTGGGTTCATTGTCAATAAGATATGTCCTTGGTTCGGAGATTTGCTCGGCTAAGACCAACCGCTAAATAGGAAATGGCACGCACCCGCCTGCAGCGGTGGAGGGATGCCGCTGAAGCTCGAGCGACAAGGGCTGGTGGCGTGACGCACGTGTGTCGTTCTCCCTGCCGCAGCGGCTGATGCAGTGCGTGCGACCCGACCCGATGTGGGGGCCCATCAAGCAGGAAAACCGGCTGCTCTACCGCAAGTCGCTGGAGGGCGTGCGCGCCCGGTTCCCGCAGACGCACGTGGCCGGCGTGGACAGGGTACCCAGCGGCGACAGCCTGAGTGCGGCCAATGAGATCGCCTGCCTCAACACGACCGTGTAGCCTCGCCAGCGGGGAGGCAACCGCCGCGTCGGCCGCGATGGGGAGGGAGGGGCAGTGGGGCGGGGCGGGAGGGGTGCAGGAGGGGAGGGGAGGGGATGGGACGTGGTGAGACCCGCCGGCGTCGCCAGCGAGCGCTCTTTCTCCAGTGCTGTGCTCCGGTGGGCGCGGAGACTGTGGCGTTTTGGCCGTCTCTAAGTTGGACAGGGGCTGTAGAGGCGACAGACTGGTTAAGTGTGCACGCATGAATGGCTGAGATGTAGTTGGACGTTACTACGACTCTGTGAGGTGTAGTTGAACGTCGCTACGATTCTGTGAGATGTAGTTGGACGTTGCTACGACTCTGTGAGGTGTAGTGTCCATAGTGTCAATTACTTTGAATGTGAGCGAGTTGTGACTATAGGCCAGGACCATGCGTGTCGCTCTGAGCGTTTTGGCAGCGATTTTCTTACCGCAACGGATAGTACGTGATTGTAGGCCAAAAGATGTATGCGTCTAAGCCAACTAGCGTCTACCAACTCTTTGTATTTTGTTTTGTTTACATGACCTGCCGATTGATGTTTGTGGGAACTGAGTGCTTCGAACGTTGTCAGCTCGCAAAAGGTCATTTCAATGGCACGTGCAATCAAATGCGGCTGTCAACGATAACAGGGTTCTGATGCGTTTCATGCCAAACGTGATGAGCTGTTATCTTTTCTGTCAGGGTTGATTGAATGTCGAATATTCCTGAAACCGTACCGCTGATTAAAGCGACTTGCCCCAGGGCAGCGCCGTCTAATGCCAGCTCTTGTTTGGCACACCGTTGTATTGCTCAGAGGGAGGTGTGTCTGGATAATCGGTCATCGTTTTATTTTTATTGTTATTTGATGGTCCCCTGTCGTGTCGGAGCTTCCCAGTGGTGTGGTTACCTTCGCCTTTCCAAATAGGGCATGGTCCAGAGCCTTGGTCTGCACTGAAACGGGGTTGAAAGGAAAGTCTGTCTCAGAAAGTGTCTGACGCGAACCAGAAAGAGGTTTTAGATTTTAGTGCTGTAAATAGTTCGTATTATTTTGTAAATAAATCACCTTGATGTCAGAGAAACGCCTTGCTTTTTGACTTGTTATGGTCACTGTATCATGCCTTATTTTCTTGATTCTCACGAAATTTGCAAGATAAGAAAGTGATATGTTAAGTCCTGTAAATGAATCAGAATTCGAAGCACTTTGAACGTTTCTTTTCTTAAATGTAGATATAGCGTTATAAAAGATGTTTTGAAATTGTACCACCACGTTTGTTATGAGCCTGCTGCTTGTTTTGTGCATCAAGATAATCTGACAGCGTAAGTTATGGCGGCATTACCAGCTGTTGGTAATCATGGTGCTTAGATTCGCGTTGATGGTGCGTCTTTAAGTTTAATCCTCGTCTCAAAGACAGTGATGTGATGTTCTTGAATCGTTCATTGGGATATTGTTTCCTGTAGAACTTTGACACCAGCGATTACTATTCGAGGCGTAACTGAAAACATCGCGGAATCGATTCTCTAGCCGTGTCTACAGTTCCGTTGATGTATAACAACATGTGTCATCTGGAAAAACAGTGGTCATGAGTTTTTCCGCGGCTTTGTACAGGACGCCGTGCGTTTACCAGTGCGGGCGCATATTTATCACCGCACGCAAAACAGCACACGTATGCGCCATGGAATAAAAGAATCAGTACATGAGGCGTTTGTGACAAAGTTGGATCAGGGAACCAGTGCAGAGATGCAGGCAGCTCGGCAGCCGATTCCCGTATGTGTTCCTTTTAACCTGCGCTCGGCAGCTCCACAGTTCCAGCACAGGACACTTTAAGTGACGGCAGGTCTGGGAACATCAGCGCAGAACCCTTTAAGTAACCGCAGATCTGGGAACAAACAGGCGACGGCTCGACAGCAGCCCGACCTGGTTGCGTCGGGTCCTGCACATTTCAGAGAGACTCTTTCTCTCGTCACACCGGCCTCTGTAACAGCCGACCGCTTCAGAACAGTTCATCCACCGGCTTGATGGTTGAGGAGGTCGAAGCTGGAAGGCCGCTGAGACGACGATGAGCGGCCGAGTGATCCGACCGCCAGCCTCGTCCAACGCTAGATCGTCCGCGTTTCTGGAGCTCGGGTGTCTTCCGTAGTTTCAGAGCTCAGGTGTCTCCACAGGCTACAACCGAGATATATTTGGTATCAGCGAGCCAATTAGCTAAAAGTATAATGAGCTCGTGCTGGAATTTCGGAGGCTGGGGCTGGATGCACCTGAATTTAGGAAGGTGGGGCTGAAAACAATGTTTTAAAATGACGTTACTGTTGCAGATATGCTTAGATAGCTTTGTTTTTAGCTCGACTTTACTCGCTGTTAGACCTAGAATCTTAACTAACTGGTCTTGATACTTATTTTTTGGAGTGTATGTTTGACATAGCTTGTGCCGTCTAGCCGATCGGGCCAGATGATGTAAGGTGGGTGTTGGCCACCCGGTGGTAAATACCCGATGTAATACATCAAAACACATCATGAGAATTGGTGCTATGCTGTCCGAAAACGATGGAAGGGATGAGAAAACGAACACAAATTACGAACTCACACGCAAATCAACCTACCTGCTAATTCAACATACGCGAGAGCAAAGCTGCTACCAGCTGCCATATAACAGCCGACTAAATACCGGACACATAACCAGCCCTCCGACTGATGGCTTAAGGGAAGGCGAGTGCGTTGCGCTGTAAAGCTATGGAAACGCTTTGTGGAAAGAGGTGGCGTGGAGATCACCGACTCGCAGTTTTAACTTGGAGAATATGGGAACTCCCACACATTTGTTACTTTGCAGGCAGCGTGCCAAGAAGTGTAAAGAACAGGCATGATACCAATTTACAGTGGATCATACAGTACAGTGGCACGTGCAACGTCGGACAATTCGGTACCGTGTTGTATATGCGGGCAATCTACCGGATGCATCTGACAACGAACCAACGGATGTGCTCCCACGTATGCCATCAAGGTGTGATACGACTTCACATGTCTTTTGACGTTGTCCTCCTCCATCAATTAAGTCATCTTCGAAACTTTACCCTAATTTCATTAGACATATGCTGAAGATCCGAGACGAAACGTTCTTCAAGAATCGTCCGACGCATTTCTGTTGATAGTGGCTTTCTGGCAGCGGTAAACATTTTATCGGCTAGAGCTTATCGGCTGAAGCATACAGAATTACCTGGTACAGTTAAGGTCGATAAAGAAATGGAGCAGCCACCGGAGGCCGTCGACTGCAAACCACCTGCCGCCAAGCCGGTGACCTTCAGCTGGACAGCCCCGGACAACAACAGTTACAGGACCTGCAACCAAAACAGGTCTTGCCCCTGGCCAGAGTGGAGTGACACGGTCGTCAATAATGAACGATGGGGCATGGTATCTGCAAAAGCCAAAGAAAAAAAGCAAGCCGCATCTGCTGCACCAATACTTCCTCCCACGGAGGTAAGCTATACCATTTTATACCAAATATTATAGATTATGCCAAACAAATTGTTGCTTCCTAGTATCCCGCCCCGGCATTGCGTCGTAATCTGCTGTGACAAAACAGGTGCAGGATTTTCTTTACCTCTTTAAATTCGCCCGGAGCGACATCACACCCTGCTGAGTTCCCTGCCAGGTCCCGGCAGGGGCGCAGCCAGAGTCCCAGTGGGGAGACACAGGGGTGACGGAGGATCCTCTGATGGTGAAAATGACCGCCGCCCCCCCCCTCAAAAAAAAAATACCGGACATGATTCTCTCGATACCGAGGGACACAATATCTCCTCGTTTTATCTTTAGTTTGCGTTCACTCTTTGGAACACAAAGCAGAAGCTTCCTAAAGATGTCATATAATTCATATTTTGAGGTAAATAAATAAACAAACCGACGACACTATTCATTCTGCATGGTTTCTGTGGACTCTTTCTCAACAGATATCGCTCAGGGGCTTCGACATAGTCTGTTTGGTGTTCCACGGAGATATTGGGACTGAGTGAACGTCGATTGTAGATCGAAATGGCGTCAAAACTTTTCAATAAAATACTCAACTTATATTCGTCTGAGAATGCTCAACCTTCAATCAGGATCGAGCTGAGAACAAATTATGTAATCTAATTTTGTGTATGCGTACTCGCAAATAATAGAAACAAAAATTACGGCGCCGTAGTCTCCACATGCGGCGCGGTGTAGGCCTACGGGTAACATTAGGCGACGACCAAAGTGCGGACAGAAATACTGACATGTCTGAAAGAAGTGCCTTTAAAGGCTTTGGGATAACTGGTGCGTTAAAAAATAGTTTGTACGTGTATTTCACTTATATAATTTTTGGACTGATAATAGAACGAGATCACCATTTTCAGCACCGCAAACTGGTCCTCGAGTTTGGGCGGCATGCAGTGATTTTGAAAGATGTGCGGAAAAATGATTTCAAGACGGTCGTTTTAACGCGTCTGGCATTCGTTGCCTGGTGTTACACGTGGCGGCCAACGCCGCTGTTAGACGGGAACTGTGACATTTCTCCTAGATCTTTGGAGGCAAGAAAATGCTCTTTTCTGGCCCAATGAGTCAACTGAAATAAATGCCAGCTAGTTTTGAACACATCACTGTAAACTAGGTACGAGCCCGTTGGGCCGTTTTCGAGGTGCTCCAGGCCCCGGAAATTTTGAAAAGTAAATAGAGACTTTATTAACTCTTTCGACAGCTAACAAACTACCACCAGGAATTTGCATCCCGCGGGTCACTTGCAGACTTTACGGAGGGCATTCGCAGACTTAACGAATGGCGTTTGCCTTCAGAGATTTACCTCTCTTAAGTCTCCAAGGATTTTACAAGGTTTCATTCTCACTCACAATATAAGTGGAAAGCATGCTCATCGCCCGCCGACGGCGTGATATTTATGAGCTCTGGACAGTTCAACCCCACTGCCCGCTAGAGGGCATCCGCCGTAAATGATGCCAGACGGATTGCTCCGTAATGCAGCCAGGCAATGCGGCACAGCATGTGGCCGTCCGACAAAACAGGCCCGTGCGGTGGCGCTGTTTATGACCCAGTGGTGCAAGCAGGGAGAGGGACGGGGCACAGCGGGCACGTTCCTCCTCCTTTTAGATCCCGAAAACCCAGCAATGCTGGCAGGGCGTCGTATTCAGAGGCCCAGGCCCGCATGGACGGGCCCTCAAATGGCAGTCAGAGGGTCATTAGCGCCCATCGGGAGCCCTGAGAAGATAAAAGCCTCTATGCCGGTCAGGCACCATCAATATCGCGGTCGATTCCACGTCAGTAGAGGTTCGAGGGCTCATTTCCCAAGCAGGGACGAAGCCGGGGCCATCGATGAACTCTCGCTCTGGGTCACCGTTTTTCATAACGTGGACTGATGGAAGGGGGGGGGGGGTCGATGCGACCCCACTGCCGTTTCCAAGCTAAGAAAAACGCACGTGGTAAAAAAACACCAGTAGATTGACTCAACGAGATGTCGCGATTGCTAAAAAGTTACATATCGCTAGCTAAATAATTCCCTCACTTGTGCCATGTCGGGCGTCAAATTTCCCCGAAAATCTAACTTGTGTTCTAAAACTATAACTTGTGTGTTCCTTATGCTACTCTGAGTACAATGGTACGTAACTTGTGCGTTTTGATCACATATCTATGACGGTCGGCCCGCCATGCACGGCCCGCGGAATCGTTCCTTGACACCTGCCGCCCGCGCCGGCCGTAGATCACCATGTAGTGTCTCTCAAACCTTGCTGCTGCTTCAAGACTACAAATGCTAGGGACACGGTTTTGGTGTGAAAGCACGCGCAGTGGATGCCCCGCAGAGTATTCAAAATTTTAACGCGATTGCGCACGACGGAGAAGTATCTTCAGAAAAAAATTGGGAGGGGAGCTGCATCGGCTCCTTTTCTGTAATCGGGGAGAGGTTTGATATTGATGGGACTCCTGTGTCTGCCAGGGGCCGACAGTGCCTAACACAGGGGCCGACAGTGCCTAACACAGGAGTCCTGTCTTGGCAAGGAGCACTGAATCGGCCAGGGGCGGTGTTTGATGGGGCCCGATGGGTGGCCTAGAGGGCCCTTCGTGACCGACGATCAAGCGCCCGATTTGAGGGCCTAAGGGTCCGTGGAGCTGATTGTAGGTCCTTTTTAGATGCACGGCCTGTAGGCCCTTAAATGCTTTACAAGGGGCCTCTTACGCCAATGGGGAACTCCTGAGACAATGCGGCCGCTACTTCGGTCAGGGTCTACCAACACCGAACAGTCGGCTCGGTGTCGGCCGAAGCCTCGTTTGGGAGGGGGGGGGATTTCCAAAGTAGCACAACGCCGGGTCCCGCGATTTGCATTGGCTGGACCCCTGTATTGGTCAGGGCCCCAACCAGTGGACAGCAGGGAGCTCTGTCTTGGCAAGGGGTCCCGAGTTGTCCAGGGGAACATTTTTTTTAACAGGAACAGGAAGGGGACTCCGAATGCCAGAGTGCCCCTTGCGTTGGTTGGGGCTCTCTGACAGTGAAGGGAGATACAACTTATGACAGTAGTCCACAATGAGACAGTGGGTAGGCCCTGGGTCAGTCAGGAGGTTCAGTACTGAGCGGGAGGCCCTCCATCCCCCCCCCCTTCCCCCTTTTAGCCGGTGCCTCGTTAAGCTGAACTGGAGTCTGTGCCAATGATTGGACCCCTGCGGCAGTCAGGGGCCTTTTTGTGTCAAAGAGCGCTTCTGCGCCGATCCGGGATCAATTGTTCGGGTCAAACGACCCCTGTGTGAGGTAGGGCACCAATGTATGATGTATGGCTCTGAGGGTATCTGGATCGGCCAGGAAACGTTGCCCCTGTGCCACCAGAATGACAGCTGGCAGCCTGTAGGCACATCGCGCTGGAACGGAATGGCCCTTCAGCCTCCGACCGGACACGATAATGTGCCCCTTATGTTCTGCCCACGCGGTTCATTGCTTAGAGTGAGTATGGCGTCTTTTTAGTGTTCAAGACGGTGGATCAAAATGAACTAAAAACTAAAAACGAGGCCAGTCCATGTTAACCTGCGGAAAACCATTATTTTCAGAATGGACTGGTAAAACAACTTATTCAATAAAGAAGTTTTGACCCCGCGCGCTTGCAATCTTGAGAGCAAACATGTCGATGGACAGGGTTGCAATTTCTTTCAATTTTTTTAAACCTTTAGAACGGGTGGATCCCTGGGATAAAATTTAACAATACCCGGTACTTGTGTGAGCTCTTACCTCCACCATCCGATCGCGCAATGCCAGGTCAAGGCGCAATTTGCTGGAGGCAGTTAAACACGCCACAATATTCGGCACGGTCCGTTCTGCCCTCTGACATCATCTGACTTTAAGCGCGACCTTTGCCGCCGGCTACCGACTGCACCAGTAAACGCAAAAAGCGAGCATCTAAAGGGACTCGAACCCACCTTGTCACAGGTGGGTGAGTCGGAAAACAGGCGCTAGCAGAGCTATCGGGACGGACGAATCATCGAAACGTCTGCAGATCTCCAAAGCAAGTTGCTAGAAAGAGCAGCGGGATGATGGCCTCCACTGGCCATGTTGATGCCAGTAGGATACCTTTGACGGCAATAGGCGAGCGATATTACAAACAGTCGTGAGCACTCCCATCATGCTGGTCGTACCAACACATAGGATAATGAAGTCAGCCGCTCTTGGAAGCCTACGCAAATTGTTTAATCCGTGCATTTTAAGGTGATGAATGCCTTTCGCGAGATAAGTAGCCAAAAAATGTACCGGCATATACAAAGCGTTTGTTAGCAGTTCGTGGAATAAATGCTGAAATAATTGGCTGCATCGGTTATGGCATAGTATCATAACGTTTATTTAGATCAACAAAATCGAACAATTTGAAACAAGTTACAATTTAGGGTACCATGGTCAAGATTTAACAAGAAAAACGGTGTTTTCGTAAACATTAGTGGCAGTAAATTGGACTGGTCGCCTATGTACCTATTCTTGACGGGCTTGATCCCGTTCGGAAAAGAGCTCGGCGGGCAATATTCGGAACTGGTTTCAGAAAACCGCTATCGGACATTTCCTGGTGGTTATTGGCGGTGCTAAGGGAAAAGCTGGTGTTAAATGTGGGAGCTTGTAGATATGGGAGGATAGTGATGGGCTCACCACTGCTTTGTAAGCCGTTCTTTACCTACACCATACAGTCACCGTCATTGGATTTTGCGATGTACTCGACCGATGGGGCCATATAGTGTGGCGTACCTCTCACTCTGGCAAAAGTCCGGCATCAAGAGGAATCGAACCCAGCATCCCTGGTTCCTGACGCGCAGTTGAACTATTACAATACTACCACCACAACCACTGAATGGCGTAGGGTACCCTAAACCATGCAGTACGCGCCACGCGTTTATCTGCTCTGGCTAGCAGGATCTGACATAATTTCATAAAAGCGTCCTAAAGCCATGGCTCCATGGCCTTGGTACGTATGGTATCCCTGGTCTGCACCCAGTCGCGGATAGCCAGCTTTACACACCCGCCCATACTTTTTATATCGCAATTGTCCGTTTCCTCTTTTTTCAAACATTATCGTTTGCGCCGTCCTTACAACTATCCCGATTGCATAGGTCTGGTCTCGGTTTTCATTCCACGTCCTCCAGATTTGTTTACTGTTTTTTTTTTTGGAAGGTGGGAAAAGGTGAGCAAACTTGTTTTCCATTTCTAATTAGACGGGGTAATACAGTTGCGTTGAATTCGGCATGTCGCAACAGGCTTATATTGCATAGCGGCTCATACCCCTAACAACTTGCGCCACAGTTCTAAAAATTATTTCAGCATAGGATTTAAATTATTGAGCAATGTGTTGCCGAAAAACACACAACACTGTACCTTCGATACAACCTGACTGAGTCAGCTGACACGGTTTGCCACTCTTACACGGTAGTGCGTACAAGGGTGACAAAGTTGCAGAGAAACAGTGGCTGCAAACCCTTAAAAGCACGGCTGGCTGGGCCGGGCCGGGCCAGGCCGATCTGCTGAAGCTACAGCATTGCTGGTCAGCTGACGGCCCGGACCCGGCCACGCCGCGAGTCCGGCCACTGCCCTTGCTTTTAATGAGATACTTCTCATGAGTAGCATGGCTTTCTATTGAAGGGTATAAATTCATACACAGTTTTGTCTTGCAAATATCTGAATGATATCATAAATTAACTTCCAAGACGACTTTTGACGAGTTTTATTCGCAAGCTTACGTAAACGGTGTTCGATGCATGGGGCACACCCAAAATAAATGGCAGTGATAGAAAACGCATGGCCAGCGCACCGCACTAATCAAGTTGCTTCTATTTTGACAGCTTTTTGAAGATGCCATGGGGAAGAAGTTTCTGTTTTCTGACATGGAGGCCAACAGCTGGACGCGTCTTTCAGGAGTATTATTCGTCTCTGAGTGAAGACGTCGCTCCAGTTATATGGGATGAAAGGGAGTTTGTGTACGACGTGTTGTCGCCAAATAAACATCTTGTCAAGTACAAGGTAAGAAAGAAAAAAATCACTAGACTACCTGTCCTGTTATGATGGAGAAGTATTTGTGTTCAGGAGGTACGTGCTGCTCTCCGCTTTTAATCCTTACCCTTCTACCCTTTTATCCTTGTGTTTACACTGCCAGGTTGGACCACGCAAAAGTAATCAGCTGAAAAATTCCGGCGAGTCTCTCGCGTTATGGACTAAGCCAGCACAATTCCAGAAGGGTATAAAGTACATTCGCAAGGCAAATTTCCTTGCTGTCGTGTGCATCACACATGTCATGCATCGACATTTGATGCACCTCAAAATGCGACTTAACCATTTATTCCTCTCCCTAATTGGCATACATTTCCGTCGAAGTTTGAGACAAGGTAGAAAAATCAAAGTGACGTACCCGCCCACATGGGCACGATCCCACCCAGCAGTTTGAAGCTTCGACCCTTAACACGAGACCCGCCGTCGATGGCCAAGCCTGCACTGTGCCGCTGCCGGCGCCGGGCAGGTGATGCGGCAGATGGTGTCTGTACTGCACGCGCTCTGGGAGCTGGGCAACTCTGGCGTGCTGCTCAACACCAACTTCTGGGCGTCTGGCGGCGGCGGCGGCGGCGGCGGCGGCGGCGGTGGTGGTGGCGGCGGCGGTGGCGGCGGCGGTGGCGGCGGCGGCGGCGGAGGCGGCGGCGTGGGCCGCGCCTGGCGACCGTGGTCTCTGGTCTACTCGCTGTGTCGCTCCGGCGCCGGCCAGCCGCACCAGCCGCTCTACAACCCCACCGGCAAATACCTCGTCCGCCTGTTCGTGCTGGTCAGTGAAGCGTAGCGCATTGCACTGTACTGTATCGCACGTTCGCTAGGGGATGCTTGAGATTATGTGAAGTTAAAAGGCGATGCGTTTTTGGGTGTAGGGCGTTAGGACGCACGCAGACAATAGCCAGACCTCACCGAAACGCGCTGGTAGCCAATCGTTCTATGGCGCACTTTTCCTTCTAGCCCGTATGGTTGAGGTGTCAAGACCTGCTTTTCGCAGAGCTACGGATCGAATTTTAGCAGGCCAATTTCGATGAGCCTGGCGCCAAACGAAAGATTGTTTAATCATCTTGAGATGATTCATTGCCCACTTGTTGACTGCAGAACAGGACTCCAACTGCGTACCGGGTCAAAGTTTTCCAGCACGGCACGCCGTGAACTTTATTACTTTCGCGACACGTCCACTGGTCTCAGAACCGGCCAGATGTATGATCGAAGGGCTGTTTGTTCGAATTAGGGGTGTTCTATAGCTTTTCTATTGCTACGTTCCCATCCAATATGCTGCATTATTTGCTACCAACGAATACATACTGTCAGTATCAGGTATATTAGAAACCATACACATGGTGGATATTGTGGTTTCGATTATGTTCACGTTTAAAAGTACGTAGAGGGAAGTACAAAAAGCCACACACCTCGAGTATATAATAAAATTATATGGACAATGGGAAAAGAGTTTAAACAGACCTAGCTATGCACTATCGGCCGCATCAGACTAGTGGTTAGTGGTTAAATTCACAATGCGTGTGGAGGTCACAAACGTTCCCAGTGTTGTGGCATCACAGGTGTACGCTGGTGGGCCGTTCCAGGCAGTTGCGGCTCGATGCGAAAACGCCCTCTGTGTGGCGGTTAACCGGTGTGCGCGCAGATGCAGACTGCCTCTGTCCGAGCCGCGCGTTGCACGGGTCGAAACAGCGGTGCGTGGGACAAAAAGCGCGCGGTCCTCCTTCAGCACCCTTGACACTTTAATCATGTCGCGACGCGCCACCATAGCCTCGATGTTCGGCCATCCAGGGGAATTTAGAACCGGAGTTACATGACGGTGTTTTTTTGGAACCGGTAACCAGGGGTAGATCTATAGTTATGATTTTGTGAAGGGCCACACAACATTGCTTAGTCCCCTCCCCCCAAAAAAAATCCTCAAAGTCCGGTCAGGAAATTCTAAGCTTCTCGGTATACTATTTTCATGCGGAAACCCATCTTAGTGTAAGCAACCCCAGACAACTAGGCCTGCTACACATGCACAAACGTGGGGCTTACTAGTTTTCTCCAGATCATGGTGTCACCTGTCATATTGAGGTAAAGGTTTTCGGAAAAAAATAATAAAAATAAGCTAACCCTGCTGCGGAATGTCATTAAATTCAATCACGAACTTGATGCCTGGCATACTTACAGCTGGCCAGCCGGTCGATATAAACAGCTGATGGCTGATGACTGATACAGAGCTTTTGCTTTGTTTGATGTAGTAACAATTGTTCTAGCAGTTAGAAAACATTAAAGGGAATGAATGATAATGTGATGCACGAGTAAAATATGCGGCAAAATTTCAATAAACAACCGAAATATGGCACACGACACCGGTGGCACGTAAGATCATGTTCGATAACTACGCGTACAAAGTCCATCGGCGCAAATCCCACTACTGCTCTAAGACTAAGGCACCAAGGCCAACAGAGACGAAACCTGAGCGGTCATGGGTGCCGTGGCAGGCCGACAAAGAGGCTGCCGTCAACAACTAGGGTCCTCAGAGCAAGCGAGGAGAACCCAAGACCATCGTGATAGGCCCCTGAACGATTGGGAGCGCCCCGGCAGGCTGCCGCATAGGACCCTGGGTAGATCGTAGGGTCAACTGCCATTTAGCCGTTGAGCCACTGGGCAATCGAGCAAAGGGGTCAGTGTGCGTGTGCGCACCCAAGACCAGTGTGTGTGAAGGAATGACCCTGTGCGATCAAGTGTGTCCGAGCGGGTTAACGGAAAGGGTCGTAATGGGAAAAAGGGTCCTCCGTCAACGGAATGAAACTGAAAGGGCCCTGGATCAATGCAGAGGGTCCCTGAGCATCGAGTGCCCCAATGTCTTACGTTATATTGGCCTCAGCAGCAGTGCAAGGTCCTCCGAACAAGTAGAAAGATCTCGAAACAGTTATGAAAGGCCACTGACTAACTGAGTGTATCCCGGCATCTACGGCCCTTACAAAAGCGTGTGAGGCGCTTCGGGCAAATGGGAAGGGTACGTGGAGGGTTCCTTGATCCTTGATCCTTGTTCCTTGTTCCTTGGTCCTTGATACTCAGGAATGCTAGCAGATAGTGCCCGAGAGGCACCTTAAGGCCGCACGGGAAAATGTAAAGAGATCAAGGGCAACGTAGAACACCCTTTAGGGATCGGACTGACCCGGCAAGTAGACATACAGGGCCCCGGCAACAGCATACCGCCTCTGGACACCGTAATTAGTTTGTCTGTTAACGGGCTTCACTTTCGCTTGTGACCGTTCTTGGTCGCCTGGTGGCCCAAAAACGTCTAAGTTGGTTGTGTTTTGTGCTTGGAAGCTGCGTCTGTTCGCCTGATTATGAGCCCCTTCAGAGCCTGTGGGTCCCTTCGAGGCAAAAGGGGAGCACGGCTCCATGTCCCCTGCCCTTCTGGATTCACCATCGTCCCGAGCAGTTCGAAAGATGGGGCTCCAACAAGAGGATAGGACCATTCATTCAAATAAGAAATACTCACGACACAATGTACAGTCCCTCCCCCCCCCCCCAACGATCGGATGGGCTGGAGCAGGCTAACAGATAGGACCCCCGACAAGGGCGTAGGGCTCTCCATTCAAATCGCAAGCACGCAAAACCCAATGAAGGGGCTTCCCCAGGGATAGAGTGTACCCAAGCAGGTTATCAGTTGGGGCCCACACAACAGCGTAAGGACCTCCATTTAAATAAAAAGAACCAAAACTTAGTGTGGACGGCCCCGGAAAGAATTGCTAAAAAGCGGCGAGGATGCCATTGTATTTTTCCACGACGCTCGAGACATGGGCACCCCATGACAGACCGGAGTCAACTATGAGGCCGAAAATTCAGGTGCTACTATAGGCATGCACAGTCGAATCGTATACTTTGAAGTGGAATACAGCAGACTTTTTAGCTTTTACTTTGACCCAACGAGCATATAAGCAGTTTTCTTTTCGTGTATTTAGAGAGAATTTGCTCTGAACCAGTACTTGAGCTCAGAGTTCAAGATTGTTTAATCGTCCTGAGCCGAACCAGTGTAATGGCAGCGTAAAGTATTGTACAACTTCTTGAGTTTCTTGCAAATTTTCTTGGCACAAAACTTATTAAAATTTCAAATACATTTACTATAGTGGCCACTGCGCCATACTACCTTTAGCTACCGGCTGCCAAATGTTTAGTACAAACTAGAAATCTAGCCTACCTTGCACATTGTCGTGCCCTCGGGAGACAGCAGTCGAGCATAGGCGCATCCCCACAGAGTCGATAAGGGCGACTGTGCGCTTACAGCCAGGCACACACGCACCGTAACCTCGCGCACTGCCAGTCAATAGCAGTTTTATAGGGCCCTGGTACCCCTGGCGCGGTCGGTTGACCGGCGCCTCAGGCAACGGGCCGAACAGCGCCGGGCGGCGGTCCTGCGGCTGCCGGCGCGGCCCGGCAGGCCAGTCGGGCGGGAGCGCAGTAACACAGCAAAATACAGCACAGCCGCCTGCTCGTGTATTTCTAGCTAAATACGGCAGTTTTCTGTACTGAACTTAGTTCTAACCGGCATCTCTTACCATGCACAACGGCAACAGCTGACAACACAAACGCGGGCGGCCTACCCTGCGTGCTAGCACTATGTGTTGCTCGGGACGTTGTGTTGGGTGTAGTGTACCTCCGCCAGAGGAGATGGGGCTCACATACCTGGTCCGCCTGCATCAGGGCGCACACGTAGCGGGGTCACACACTCATAACCGCCCCTGCTTGTCAGGACTATGGCTTCTGGCTGGGGATCTGTGGCCACAGGACGGCCGTCGCGTTTTTGACGATGGCCGGCTGGCTCCGTCGCTCTGACCTGCTGTATGGTCAGGGCTGCCTGGCGACCACCCGCGTCCGTGTAGTCAACACGTGTCCTCCGACTGAAATAGACGGCTGACTCGGCGTCCCGGACTGGTCTGAGTCTAGGGCTGCTGGCGAAGGATCTGCGTGGATGACCGGTGCCCGCTGGACAAGGACGGCCGGCCGCTTCTGCTGCGCTCCATGAAACTCACCGAGATCTGGCCCTTCATCGTCTCCAAGGCGCTGCTTCAGGTAGCGCCATCCTTAAGGGCGTGGTCTACGCTGGGGTGAGGTAGTGCCGCCGACAGCCAATTGGCTCCCGGTCCCATTGCTGGCGTTGCTCATTCGTGTTTCGTTCTCAAACCCCATCCGTGTCTATTAACACGAACCAATCGGCGATGCCAGGTGCCGACTTAACCGACCTTGGTTTTTGCCACCTTGGTTCCAAAGTTTCAACCAACGACGCGTTCTGCGTTGCAACCAGTAGGATTTTCGCTGGTCATCAATGTTAACGCGCTCGTAGGTGGTCAGAAGGTTTTTACAAAATGATTTTATTTCGAACGGTGCTGCGTAGCCGCGTCAACATTTTCTTGACCGTCCGAAATTGAACAGTAGATATTTTGGTATACAGCAATTAGATACATCTTATAAGGTCGGTGATCTATGGTTGGTCAACGTCAGGCCGTAGCTGTCAGCGAAAGCAAATTCCCAAGAATTGTTCTGATGCAACAACGGAGTGTTAGTCGA